AACAGTGTATCACAAACACAACTTAACAACATAAGCTGCACACTGTTTACAAGCAGCACATTTATCAATCAGCAATACAATTTTTCATATATAAAGCAGTTAAGAATTGCCATACCCTGTTTTATACATAATATAAATCATATATCCCTTTTATACTTAGGATAAAATTTACTCAAGCAAGAATTTTTTTACAAAATGAAACACCTTTCAGTTGAACTTCATTGGACTAACTTCTAGATTAGGTACTACTGAGCACATAACACTGGGACTTGACATAAGCAAATATTGAAGGCAACGAGTAAGGCAAGAAGTAAATAAATAATAAATAGAGGTTATATAGATAATCTACATATCTACATATAAAACAATAACAAGCTATGTAGAATCTAGAATCTAGATAGATATAATATATACACTCATTAATATATAACAATCTACATTCACTATCGCTATTCATCAATCCCTTACATTATCATAAAATATTCCAGAGCAGATCGTTCTCTATTAATATGTTAATTTTCAATCCAAACAAATAACTTATAATTGTCATGTGATGTAATGACTAAGTTTATGTGTAAATTTGACTATAATAAATGTCAAGCCAACGTCTATAATCTTTTAAGTTTTTTGAACTTGGTTCCAGCTTTCAAAAAGTAACACAAATATTGAAATTCTTCATTATCATATATAATACATTTCACTTAAAATCAAAAGGAAGGATAGATTTCACTGCTGAATTCCTCACATATTTTTAATCGGTTTGGGAAAATCAGAAACAAACAAGTCAAAAGTGGAATTGATGAATTAGGAAATAGGAAATTATTTTATCAATCCTGATCACACAAAACAATCACTCCAAACATTTACATATTAATAGTGGAAACTTTTTAACCAACCCTCACTTCAACATCGATCCTTGGGAATTTCACAAATATCTAACTTTAAGACAAATTGATTGGTCAATAACTAAATTTGATCTAAAATTCAGCTTAATTAGCCAATCAGATTGCATTTCATTAAATCCGAATTTTTTCCAAGCCAGGCTTTGTGAAAAAGGGCACAGACCTGTTGTCAAGAACAACCACCATTTATTATGAGCGTCTTAATATACAATTCTATTATGCAAATCTGAGCGAAGACATATTCGAGCAAAGATCTAATTCACTAATATAGAAAATAATAATATGCAAAAACTTAACATATATTATGAAAACTCTCTCTTTAGACCAGTATATGAACAAATAATATACAATTTATTCATAAGCCAAAAATAATAAATATTGATGAAAATATAATTTAGCTTGGCTATTTATTTATACCAGTAAGTAGAAGATTGACAAAACAAGGAACCTCTTTGTATTTCAAGCATTCAGCATTTTATATGCGCATTTTGACTTCATTTTATGTTGTGTTTCTCAAAAAATCCTGAATCTAGATTTAATTTCTTCAAGTTGACATTTTGATTTTTCTGATGCAAAATTGAAACTTGTGTCAAGTTATTGTCTTAAGATTTTGTAAGAAACGAGAACAGAAGATAAGATAATAATCTATTTTTTCTTCTTCCTGAAATCAAACTCAAATTTATCAAACTAGCACCAAAGCACCAGACAAAATACCGATTTCATTGCTTCTGAAGCATAATCAGGAATTAAAACACCACCATTCTGTCAAATAATCTTGTCTTAATATAACAATTACTGGTTTCAAGCATAAGAAATACCATGTATAAAAATATAAGCACACAAGATACCTTTCAATCCACATTACTAATTCTCCATCTTCCAATACTGAGTTGATATATTTTGATATACAATACACTGGGCACAGGGCGATATTGAATATATACCCGTACATGGCCAGATTTGGGCACAGTACAATATCAATATAATGTTTGGGCACATAACAGCTGTACAATATACCATAATGTTTGGGCACAGTACAATTCAATGAGTATAAATGCATATAAATTCAAATTTCCACTCAATCACATTGGCTACAAAGGGATAGGGATGATGTATTAACCACTTATATCTGATCTAAGCCTTTTTTGCTTTTTGATGCCCCAATTGGCAATGCCATATTTGAACTCACTAAAATGTACTCAATTTGAAAATCTAAATGCTTTTAAGAATTGCTTTTCATACTCTCTAAAGTCCAGTGTATTTCTAGAAGAGGCCCATTTCTCTCAGAGACTTAACTTAATCAGGATTTTATCATGGTTAGTAAAGTATTAAAATTTTGTTTCATTATTCCATCAGATTACTGTATTTCATCAAAACTGGATCTCTTCTTAGCAGGGTTTGTGAAAAAGGGCACTGACACGTAGGGACTCCACCCAAAATCTGGCTATGTTAGGAGAAGCACTTACAATAGATATATAATAATGGAAGCGCATTATTATCAGAGTAATATTATTGTATAGAGCAAGATTTTTCTTCATCCAATGGAATACGACCTTCAGATATCTTTTTATCTAGCAGCTCATCTTCTTCAATACTAGAATGAAAATAATTAACTAAATAATCTTTTAATATGATCAGATTAACGGATTAAAGATTATCATAATTTCTTATCATTTTAATGCCTTAATCTGATTGATATTCATAAGAAATGATTAAATTTAATGGAACAATAAATAAAAATAGAGCTCAAAGCATTAATTGCAGAGCGATATAGAAATATTAAAACAGAGCACACCAATTGAAACTGGTCTGTTATCATAAATAATTTGATGTTTTATTTTATCACGTTTCCAAGGCCGCAACACAATCCAAGTTAAAATGAGGCAAAGGGTGTGTGGTTGGATTTCAGTTGCAAAATATAAAAGACATTTCTACAGTTTGGTCACTGCAGCCTTGTTTTCTAAATCATTACTCCCATAAAAGGGAAAAAATTATCATGCATTCTTGAATCCTTTAGAGATTTGGGAATCTGGAATCTGCATGCAAGTGCAGAAGAGAGAACATGCAATGCATGTTAGTATGGTATTATTTTAATTTCTGCAAAAAATTGATTCTGTTAAATTGAAGAGGTTTCCCTAATTCAATTTGACATTTTGATTTGAAGATTCATTTCTGGTATGATATATCTATGTGAGGTTTTTCCTCATAAACATATTCGCTTTTCGTTTGTTTTTTCAGTTCAATCTTTTGATATGCAAATTTCTTGAGACTTTTATGAGATTCACTATGAATGAGGAACAATTCCTGATTATTAAAAATGAAAATTTCGATCTTATGAATATCTTAAATCATTGAAAAAACATCCCTATTTCAATTTCAAAAAATCTGAAGTGTATGTCAACCTTCCCTATTTCATTTGTTTCATTATCATTAACCAAAAATCCCTAAACACTCAAACCTTATTAAGAAATATACCCCTTCCAGTAATAGAAAGTTTAAAGAATTTCATGGCATATTGACTGATGATATCACAAGTTTTATATTGTCAATGATAGAGGAAGAGTGAAAACTGATAGTGTTTATTAGATGATATATGATCTTACATTAAACACAGGTATATAGTGTTTACCGTTATCATATATAGCTAGTGACCATCATATTTTAATTCAAATAATTTTTGAAACACCAAACAAATTTTCATGAACAATTAAAAAATATGAATTTTGAAAACTTTGCTATTATTTCTAGTAAATTTTAAATATTTTATTCAGTGATAAATTTTTCATATTTTAATTCTGATCTTAGAAAAATTCTAAAACACAAAACAAATTTTTATAAAGAGAAAATGATATGAATTTTGGAAAACTTGCAGTTTTATATATATATATTGGTTTTATGAAATGTTTTATTTTCTTCAAAGTTATTAGTTTAATTCTGAAAATTTTGGAAATACAAGACAAATTTGAAAAATAAATTGCAATTTTGATTTTAATATTGTCCTTTAAAACACACAGCCAATTTTGAAAAAAGGTTATGAAAGATATAAAATTTAAAAACATGCTGTAATATTATTGTATTCAATAATTCATTCCTATTTTAATTCCGATTTTAATTCTAAAAGACTCAACTGATCCAATGTTGTCGAAACACATTACAAGTGTTCGTCTATAAGACTGGACTGATCCAGACTAACATACTTGTACTCTCTATTGTCATGTAATTGAATAACTAACATCTTATAGTTTATATATCAATTTAGTTCCCTTTTATTTAGTTTATTGGCTCACAACTCCAACCATGTTCAATCAACTTTCCACTGTTTACTCTCGGTATCAAATGAACGTTGTGTGAGCCAGGGCTCGGCCCGCGGTGCCTTTCTGTCTATTCGGCATATTGTTATCATCTTTCTGACCCCACAAATAATTAACGAACAATTGCTTGATCTACTTACACGGCATATATAAACTTTATTTCTATTTGTATATAGAAAGGTGATGTATCACATGACTTAGATCCTCTTTCTCAAATTAAGCACACGAGACCCCTGTGAAGAATTTGACTCGTAAGTGAGAACAACGTTTGATATTTGATTGATATGCAAACTGAGTTTTTGTAGAAGAATAAACAGATGATACCAACAAATCACTTTCTTTTATTTATGATATTCTTACAGTGATTGAAAGACTCAGTAGGGGTTAATTTTATGTTTGAAAACTTGAATATTAATATCTCAATAATACTCAATTCATATTGACAATATAAAGTTTAGGAAAATAAATTCTATGTCAATTGGTTTAAAGAGACAGGTTTGCCTTCTGTTTGACCAATTTCTTTTATTTCTTAGCTAAGTTTATCAATAATAGTGTTCACAGCTCAACATCGAAATTTTAGCCTTCAAATCCCTGTGTATAAAATTATCAACCCCTAAAATGGCAAACCATGCATTGCACAAAAATTTTAAGCATTTTTGCTTTTGAATCATAAGGATATAGTTACTAGTAGTAAAACCAAAAAATCCAGATCTGCATTGATCACATCATCATCCTGGCAAAACAAAGACACAATTAAATTACAATCACAATCACAAAGATTTAAAACTTACGCTCTCTCTTGGGAGTCTAAATGTTGAACCAATTCATCGCGTTTATCAACTATCTGTACTAATTCTTCCAGTAATAATCTTTCACGTTTTTTCTGAGCTTCCGTCTTCTGCCAGTCTGAAAATATATAAAAGATATTCACTAATTACTAAACCTCAAACAAAACATTACATGATCCAACTACAAGCTAATTTTCTTCTGAAGATTAAACTATTTAACTTAATAAATCAAGATTGATTTCCAAAATGAAAATCATGATCAAAAGAACACAATATCAACTCGTGTGTTGAACATTTATTCTTAATTTTAAATCTTTGGTAAAACATACGTCTTAATTCCATTAACCATCTTAGTGTTATTGATATTTGACATCATTTGCTGGCTTTCATCCTCATTTATGATTGTTTTACTTTCATATTTTGTAAGTATATATGTATTTGTATATGATACAATATTTATTATAAATACAATATACAATTTATTCTTGATTAAAATATTTACTCTTCAGCCCAATAAATCATTAAAAACAATAAACTATAACAAGATGGAGGCAGCTAATCCCAGATTAAGACATATTGAAGAGGTTTGAATTGTAGTAAGACCTTGATGGTTCTGACCGTCGTCCTATAGCGTCCACCATACTTGAGACGTAATGTAACACTATTTGAAGCAGGTGGTAAAACATGTAGGAGAACACTAAACGCTACAGTTTCAGCCTGTCATCATTTACATAGTTCTACTTTCGCTTTTCTTACAACTGTTGTGTAGCTTGTTAATCAGAGGGCCACGCGTAGAAAAGAACCCTCCATTATACCCAAAACAAAGTGTTTAGTGTCAGTTTACTGTTGTCTGTAATCTGCAGTTTGTCACTGTAACACACCAAACAGAGATTGTGACAGTTACATGAAATCTAATCCAGCTTTATAGACACTGTAAACATCCAGCATATGGTGCCCAAACAGGACTGGCGTGTGGACTGCCGACATGTTAACCCTTGTGCCGACATGTTAACCCTTATGCCGCCATGATGACAAGATCAAATTGTACAGGAACTAAATATCAATTAAAGGATCATCTAATTAGTTATAATTAATTAGGCTTTGTTCATTTGTACTTCAATGTTATTTGCAATTGCGGAAAATCTTTGAAAATCAATATATCTTCTTTTCCATGACAAATTCAAAGGATTCAAAGACACAAAAACTGACATGAAAGTGGACACAGTTTCTGAATTTTTTGACAGTTGTTGACAGATCAATAAAACTTTACCAAAGGCCACCATAAAATAAAACCCTTTTAAAACATTCTTTTTTTGAACAATTGAGGCCATATTGCATGTTTTCTAAGTGGACACAAATAAAATAGCCTGAAGAAACTGGACAATTTCTGACCATTAAAACAAGCCAGACATAATATACTTGAATTTCTAACGGGGCTGAAATACAAACAAATACGTTGACAGGTTTTTAGGGGAGGTTTTCGGCTGACTAAACAGCTCTTGTCCACCATGTCTGCTTCACTTAGGATCCATTATTACCCTCCAACTACAGTCAGCGGTCAGCTATAACCAATGTTTACTCAGTCATTTAAAAGTAAAATTTGAAGTGCTTGTGTATTTAAAATGGTTGAATATTGTCTAATTAATGAAGAGCTAGTTAAATGAACCTAAAGGCAAATTGAGTCTCAAGTTGTGTTGATCGATGACATTTTACTCTTCAACCTCTCTCTATCAAAATAGTCACTTAAACAGATTCAACATCAGCGCCATCTCAAAACTTTCAACAATGTTATGGCATTTGGCATTTTATGAATAAACAGACCTGTATTTTAAATGCATGTTTCGAAAATTAATCTTTTTCTATCGATATTAAAATGCTTACATTCACTAATAAAATTTTTATATATATATATATGTACAGTATTGACAGGAACTGCTTGTAAAACTTGTTCAAGTTAATTCATAAATTCTAACTGAAGAAGTGATTATCAAAGGAGGAATTAACACAAATCGATGTTTATCACAATATATCATGAATATATAATTATATATATTGTGAAACATATACAGCAGTAATTAGGAGGTAGTAGCATTGGTAAAAATTGGTAAAAAAAAAATGGTTGGGGGTTGAGGAGAGAGGGGAGGGAAGAGTGCATGTAAATTCAAATGATAACACTCACCATCAATAGCCATCATGGCCTGTAATTCTCTCTTTAATAAATCACAGCGTTTCTCTAGATCATCTTCTTTCTCTCTGGAAAATAAAATAAAATATTTTTATCCAATAAAGAAAGAGCCAACTAATTTTATCTATTATAGTATTTCAAATATTCAAAGAAAGACACAGGAATAACCACATTCAACATTTTCAAAAAATATTCGGGAATCTAATTTCTAGTAATAATTCAGTCATAACATTTAAGTTTTTAACACAATCTTAAACTCTTTATAGATTTGAATTTTTATTCCAAACATTAACAATTCAACATCAATTTCAAAATTATATTTATTCATCTCTTAATGCATTTAAAATTGTATAATATTTGAAAGTGTCATAAATAAGAGTAAAATACGAAATAATATTATTTTTAATTGCCACCATGAATTAATTTAGAATAATATCTTTCTGTAATTTCTCAGTTCACTGAATCATTACAGACCACAAGTTAGTGCCAACATTCAAAATAACACTATTGTCACAGTGAATAAAAGATAAGGGATTAAAATGTGAGCCCTGAGGTCTACTCGCCTAATCTCTATGAAAATTATGTTAATTTTAATAAAACAAGGATAATTTTGTTGAAAGTTTTGTTTACTTGGCATGGACAAAATGTTGGATACAATGACATCATAATATTTATTCAAATACTAATACTGAATTTGTATAATTTCACTACCACAAACTATATTTGAATACATGCGATTATTTTTTAACCATTTTACTGGATTCCTTTGTATATAATTTGTACAATATTTTCACTGTTAAAATAGTTCTCAATATATTAATTGTAGACCAATATAGAAATACCACTGTTAAAATAGTGCTCAATACATCAATTGTAGAGTGATTTAGAAATACCACTGTTAAAATAGTGCTCAATACATCAATTGTAGAGTGATATAGAAATAGCACTGTTAAAATAGTGCTCAATACATCAATTATAGAGCGATATAGAAATACCACTGTTAAAATAGTGCTCAATACATCAATTGTAGGCCAATATAGAAATAGCACTGTTAAAATAGTGCTCAATACATCAATTGTAGAGTGATATAGAAATACCACTGTTAAAATAGTGCTCAATACATCAATTGTAGAGTGATATAGATATACCACTGTTAAAATAGTGCTCAATACATCAATTGTAGAGCGATATAGAAATACCACTGTTAAAATAGTGCTCAATACATCAATTGTAGAGTGATATAGAAATACCACTGTTAAAATAGTGCTCAATACATCAGTTGTAGAGTGATATAGAAATACCACTGTTAAAATAGTGCTCAATACATCAATTGTAGAGCGATATAGAAATACCACTGTTAAAATAGTGCTCAATACATCAATTGTAGAGCGATATAGAAATATCACTGTTAAAATAGTGCTCAATACATCAATTGTAGAGTGATATAGAAATATCACTGTTAAAATAGTGCTCAATACATCAATTGTAGAGTGATATAGAAATACCACTGTTAAAATAGTGTCCAATACATCAGTTGTAGAGTGATATAGAAATACCACTGTTAAAATTGTGCTCAATACATCAATTGTATACCGATATATGTTTTAGCCAAATTGCAAGATCTTTAAATCAAAATATCAATTTCTCAGCTTTCCCGAAATATTTCCCAATATTGCAAGCTAAATATAAAAATAAATTTGAAATAAGGAATTCACTTTTCTCTTTTCTTTGATAGTAAAAAAAATCATTAAGATTTATAAATATTGAGTTTTTAAAGAATATAATTTTAAATTTCAAGTTAACATCATAAGGTCAATGGTCTCATAAACAAAATGAAGACAACAGCAATTTCCCATTATTAAATTTCTTCTGGTAAATTAGTGAAACTGAATTAGTCTAAGTATAATATTTGGAGACAAGAATGTTATTACTTATATTATGACATATTTTGTCTACCTACTAACCAATTATCAAGGTGTGTTTACACTAGCACAGGTAATCATATCAATATATACATGAATAAGTAATGAAAGTGAAATACCTAAGTGTTTTCAATGAAAATGAAATATTTCATTAATGAAATTAAGTAAACAGACTTTTCGAAATATGAAAATTAAACCAATAAGCTTGTAGTTTAAAATGATTCTTTGGATATTTTGAATAGTATAAATATTTCAGTTTTGACCCAAAATCATACACTAAAAATCTGACTGCATACCATGCAAGAAATTCAGATTATATGTACAATATACATCAGAATTTTCATCATAAACTTGCTGAAGATAATTTGAATTTTCAATAAATATTAATCAATAGCCATTTACAAAATCAGCAGAATTTGGAAAATTGAAATAATGAAAGATTTCAAACCATTCAACCTAAATTTGATTGTACTAAATTAAAAATGAATATTAATTTGACTTTTGGCTTTAGGGATGTAACCTTTACCTTTCCTGCTGTGAGATTCACAAGTTGAGGTTACCATGTAACAATAGCGGAGACCAGTATTTGATTGTGGTAAAAGACATCAATTTGATTAGCGGTAAATCTGTATTTACTTTAATTTCCTCTCACTATTTTCCACACACTGCCAGCAATATTAATTTACCATGCTCTGATTTCCGTGTCCAGATTTAGGCGTGAGGAATAATAAGAATCAATGTTAGCTGGTAGTGAAAATGAATTTGATGGGAAAATATCAAGATGGTGAAATTAACGTGTTTATAAAAATTCTACTTCATTGATATTTTAGACATTTTTTTTTCTTAATACAGATTAACCACAGATCAATATCTATTTCTCTTTCAATCAAAAAAATTCAAATACCATAAATGAGATGCATTATGATTAAAACTTAGATGTTTTTAGGAATTTCTGATTCCACTTGTCATGCATCATCTGACAAAATTGTCATACATCTCCTGTCCTTGGTTCTATATTATTCAACCAATCATAAGCTCTGCTTAATAAAAAATTTCCTTACTATTTTTGAGGAACTATGGGATATTCATTATCAAACATTGCAGACAAGCATTATTAAATGACTTTTAACAACATTTTTGTGAGATCTTATGATGATATAATTTCGAAATTCCACAAAATTAAAGCAAAATCTAACCAGATCACAGATGGTAAATGTAGTAACCTTCAGAAAATACATGACAAATCATCCAGTATTTTAATCAGTTTAAATAAGTGGTTGCTCAAAGTATGAACCCTCATCAGCAGATTCAGATATAAACCATAACCAGCTATTTACTATACATGATGGGAGATTCAATGCATAGTCCTTTTCAGAATTTAAATGCACTAAAACATTCTTTTATATTATAAAAGGCAAGAAAATTAAATGCAGACTGCAGAAAATGAAACACAAAAATTCCAACTCATCTGGGATCTCATCAGTGCACTTAACAATGGACAGAAAATTTCTTTTTCATTTTATAATTTCAAAACTTAAAAAACAGCTTTTTAATTTTTATAATTTTAAGCATCTTTCTAAATTTTAAAATTCTGAATTCACCGAGGAATATTACATCAAAGGTTATAAATTTTATACTAGTTACACAAAATAAAGTTTAATTTCAATCACACTGGATAAAAAAATGATTTTTTTCATGCAGATAATGGAGAAATAATTAATTTGGTACGATCCCAAGAAAAAGTATAATCCAGGGATTATATTAATTATATAGCAAGAAGAAATAGTTGGAGGCAATATGACTGTTAGCTATCACTAGATTACTATCTTCCCATGTTAGTATGGCGACTGAATGGACACATTATGAGCAAAAAGAAAATAGAGACCAGTTTCTCAAAAACTTAAAGCCATCAAGGGTTTGTAAAGAAGTTTACTAAACTTTGCATGTGTATCGGGGGACATCAATTTGTACCATTCCAATTTTCTGTAATTCCAATAAGACAAAGCATTTGATAAAGTCACTATCACAAAGGGCCTTATATAATATAAACAGATTTTGCGATTGTGACGTTATCAGACGCTTAGTTTTAGAGGAATTGTAGGGACCGCTGGATGCTGGATATGAGCATGAGCATGAGTATCATATCATATTATCGTTTAATTGTATTTTACTTTCATTCAGTTAGAGAAAAAATGTCATAATTTCAATTTAGAACTATTTTCCTTGCCAATGATTTGAAAAAAAAATAGAACACAAAATATTCAATGAAATTTGAAATATTTTTGGTAAAAACTTGAAAATATAAAGAAAGGAAACCAAGACTAATAATGATTCCAATAAAACTATGGCTAAATGATCAACTCATTTGACAACAGCTAAATACACACTGAAAGCTGATTACAACTTTTTCTCTCTCCAATCAATCCCTAGGGGTGGGGATTAAACTTGAGGCAGGCGTACCAATGGCTAGCAGACGACAGCAAGCAAAGTACTCCAAATTAACAGATTACACTTACAAGCAAATTACTATTGATTTCTACATCCTTTCAAAGAAAAAGTGATACGTCGGCCGAGAAAAGCTGCTTATCCTAAATTCTCTTTGATGGGATCCATGTTCTTCATGTGGCAGACAAAATACGCAAAAAGCAATCCGCGGCAAATAACATAATTGTATCAATATTTAGCTGACGGCTCAATCTGGCGCTGACAAAAATCCCCTGCCCTATTTCAGTGTAATCCCCCCATCATATAATAATGTGTCTCTCTTATTGTAAGAGATTAGTATTTTATCATTATAAATGATGAAGTAGAAAAACAAAGATTTGAGGAAAGCTTTTGGCTGTCATCAATCAAGAGGTACTATAAATGTGGTAATGACAGTTACTAGCTTATGCTACTTCAGTCGGCAGTCAGCTAAATGCCTTTAAGTGGATATGCAACTCCAACATATTTCTATGAAGAAGATCTCTTTATTTGTTACCTTGGCCAGTGGTTACAATAGGAGTTTTAATAAGTTATCGAAATGCATTCAATCAGATATGCAACTGTGCAGATAACAATGAGAAATTTTGCATGTAAGTAACTCTGACTTTAAACAGTCGTCAACTGATCTGAGATTTTTTTATTGCCAAACATGTTGAATCTAAAAGGCATTGGTGGTTGATTAATCAGTGACAATCTATGTCAATGACCATAAATAATATTATAGCTGCACATGAACCAAGGGACATAACTCCAAAATAACATGTCCTCTAAAATTTTGAACACTTATCGAACAGGTGGACAAAGGGAGATAACAACTGAAGAAATCACAATCAGACCAAACTGGTTACACAATTCTGTCATCTTTACACATTTTCCTCCATTATACAAGAAATTGTGTAAACTAAAATGTTAACTTTGTCAAAGTTCTATCATGCAAACCATAGCATTTTGTATTTCAAGCTGTTTACAAGATTTCAAGATTACAAATAGATTACTTACAAAATATTCAGTTGCATTTGACGTCTGATCAAAGCATTTCTTTTATTTACCAACATAAACCATTCCTGCATTAAATGTTCTTCTAAGGCTTTGTTTTTACCTAAAATCATATATTCAATCAATCAAGGAAAATAAATACCACTTTGAAATTTAAAAGGCATATATAATATAGCTAATTCAAACAGAGTCTCTGTCTATGGCATGGACTTTAACACCATTCTGAAAGCTAAAAAATAGTTAAAAAATATCAATCATTATGTCAATTATAAGCTTTTGCTGCATGAAACTTTTGTGCCAGTATCAGAAAGCTGATACTTGGGCTATACGTTCAGGACATGAGCTCAAATTTTCTGCTACAAAATTGCTGCATTAACTGAACTGAACAGTAATGGAATCATGAAAGAAGAAAACTTTACTGCATGTGTAAGGATATTGGTTTTATATTAAGGTTATACTGTACTAATAGTACAGAACACAGTTATCATATAGAGTTATGTCCCTTGAGTTCAGTTTTTATTAAGAGTGACAGCCCTGGAAAGGAACATGCAGTCTTCAAGAGACACCATTACATGTACTACCTACTAGTGATTAAACTTTATGTCTTTTATACAGACTTATTGTTTGTAACAAATATCACAGCATGTAAAACATTTCCAGAAAGACAGATCTAAAATAAGCCATTGTCTATCTCAGTTACAATAAACAAACCCCATACCTTTATTCATGACTCTCCGTAGTTGTTTCTCCAGTTTCGAGGCTTGATCATCAATTTGTTGCTGTTCAATTTCTAAAGCTTCCATCTCGGAATGAACATATTGATTGGTGTCCCGTAAGTCTTCATCAGATGTCACTTGTAGTCCCAGATCATCAGATCCATCATCAGAATCATCTTGTTCACCATCAGAACCTAGACTACCATCATTACAACTACCTACAAATTTATATAAATAAAGGTTTATCAAGCTATAGGCCTACTTATTTCATTTTTTGTGGTTTAGTCAGTTGTCCAGATTTCACATGGTAACATGGTAACATGGTTTTGGTTATTCAACATCATAGACGTTTGGGATTATTATTTGTAAATAAAGCAAAATAAAAAAATTGGGTCATTTTAGAATTAATAATGCTCAAATCTGCAGATACCAGAGAATTAGGCATCTTTCCTCTTCATTCCTACCAACCCAGCTTTAAATGGGTACAGATAATCTGGGAAAGAGTAATGCTAATAAGTTTGATTAAGGAACAATTAGTAGAAAGGATCCTTGTGAACCCAAGTTGTTATCCTTGAAAAAATGGTTGTTTGTTTCTTTGTTTTCCCTTTGTCTAAAACTTAAATCTGAACTGTTCATTAATAGTTGAAATCCATTCTAAAAATTGAATCACCTAGAGGTATCAATGAGATCCTAAGTATAGAAAAAGTATTCAGGGATGACATATTTTCTGATGATTTCTAAGAAAAGAGATAAAAGATGAAAAGAAAAGTTTACCTGAATCTGGTGAAATCAATTTTCTATCTGAACTATCAAATAATTTATCATCTAAACTTTTACTTCTCTGTAAGGAAAAAGGTTAATCATTGAGTACACAATCATGTAGTCTCTTTAACATATTTCTACCAGGCTTCACTTTAGCAGGTAAACCTTGTATAAGGGACAGTTCTGATAATTTTCAAACTAACCAATCAACATGCTTCAATTAGCCAATTTTAGAGATTGTTTTGTTAATGTGAACCCAAAAGCTAATGGCTTTATAGTAGGACACTTTTGATTGGATGCTCATTGGTCAAAAGGTTAAGATTTGCTATTTTAGAGTACTATTTGCTCATTATTAGAATAGTCTAAGATATAAGTTTCTGCTGGAGAAAAAACATTAACTCGTCATCTACCAACCAACCATCATTTTACATTTCTAAATTCATTAGACTTACCTTTGGAACAATTTCTGGACTTTTAGAATGGGAATCACTTTCATTATCATCTAATGATAAATTAATATTTGGTTTTATTAATTTTAATTTCTTTAATTTAACATCTCCAGTTTTATCTTCAGTAGGAGATTCTGGTTTTTCTGCTTTTTCTGCAAAGATTCAAAATTGTGTTCTTCAAATTCATCAATTGGAAAGTATAAATTATATGACTCATTGGGCTGTAGAATTGACACTTCTTTGTCAAGAAAATAGAGTTGTTGAATATGTACACCACTCTAGGCACGTTACCTCACCCCTCACAACCTTTACTCTGAATGTGTTTTTGACGACTTTCTAAATGAAAATCTTCCAAGCTTTCACAATAATTTGACAACATATGAATTGAAAAACTCAATTTAGTTTTGTAGGAAACAGGTAAATGTCATACTTTTTCATTGGTCAAGAAAATGCCATTCGTAAAAAATGTAATTTTTCTGTTAAAATTATAATTTTAACGGAATTCTAAATATACCTACCTTTAACAGAAGTTTTTCTGGTGATAACTTTATAAGATTTGGCAGGTACTGTAATCATGCATACAGAAAATACAACATTATTGTGCATGAAACAAAACACACAGTGTCACATACAACATATACATGCTAATACATAGAAACTTAATGAGAATTTTTAAAAACATAATGACGAAAGCCACGTGAGTAGACTCTACTGTGAAGGAAGATTTTGAGTTTCAAGATTTTTTTTAGAATCGGGGGAAACATTTTCTTTCATATTCATAAGTGTGCAGGGACCACAGCTCCATTTGGTGCCTTTGAAGATAGACAATATCATGCATAGACAATGGGGGGAAATATCAAGAGTGCACAGCAAAAAAATGTCATCCTTGGGAAGATCAATGTCATCAATGTCAGACTACCATAAAATTGATATGAAGTTTTCAAATAAATTGTAGTGCATTTAAACCATGAACGGAAAACAGACACAAAAAAAATTGAAATAAAAATGAAGTCAATTCATAAATTAGAAATGTTGTGTAAAAAGACTCAATAATTCACACTAAGAGTGCATTGAGGACACCAAGATACAACAGACATGCTCCAGTGATGCAAAGCGATGTTAGAGTGATGCCTACCTGTTTCTATAGTAGTCGGTCTAATAATTTCTGTTTCTGGTTGACCTATACCAGCTCTAGCCTCAGCTATCAACTGTCTAGCTCTCTCTCTTAGATGTTTCTGTCTTTCTTCACTCTACCAATAATATAAAAATTTTTATAAGTCTTTGATATCAATGGACAACTATTTGTTTCTACATGCAATACCATTTTATGGTGATCATGCAAGGGCTGGGCGATTGTTTCATTAATATATCATGATATGGGAACATGTTCCTATATTTCAATATTTTCCATGATACTACTAATGATATTAATTCCTATACCAGTATTTATCGTGATACAGGTATCTCCCAACTCAACATGTAAGGGATTCACAATGGACAAAAATACATCTTAAATTGAAACAAATCATTTGAAAATTCTTTCAACCTAATCCTTTTTTTTTTGATTACTCAAGTTATGTTATTATGCATTTTCAATTACGTGTAATGTAAAATTGGTCAAAATAAATATTTATAACTGAAAAACAGTAATTTCCAAGAGGTAATATTCAGGTAAGGACATCGCATAGAGTATAATATACACCATATAAGCTACATAGCCTTGTACAATAGAGGGTACTAGAGGTAAAGAAAGATATATGATGTAGATTTGGATTGTTTTTATATATCTATGGTGTTTACCAAACGTCATTGACAATAAGATAAAAAACAAAAAGTTTGGTCTCGAGAGCTAATATATCAGGTGAAATTAAACGGGAATATTAAATCAAATGAATATAATAATATATGAACTAAATCTACACAGATAGAAGGCAAATAATTGAGAGCAGACATCAACTAAAATCGTACGGTTTGTATTTCAGACATATTTTGGGGATATTTTTTTGGACTAATCACCATAAAGTAAATTTTATTTTAGGAGTATCACTCGGGTTGGATTTGACCAATCACCAATAAGTAAATTTGATTTAAAAAATCATGCATGCCCATATAAAGCAACATACGACATCACTGTTGGGTTCCTGCACCTTCACTTCTGCTGGTGGACACTCCGTATCAGCTGACTGGCTTCTAACGAGAGCGTCTTTACGAGCCTGTTCCAGTAACAGACGTGCTCTTTCTTTCAACTCCACGTGTCGAGGTTTGGATGGTGACTATAGGTAAATACGGCAAAAGAAATGTTAGTTTTTCTCTTTCCCAGCAAAGTTAAAGCCAATCTGGATAAACCTATATCTTACCCAGTAGCAAGCTAGATATTGATTTGTTGAAGATCTAGTAACGATGTCTATTTTATTGTAGGCTGCTTAAAAAAAATTCCTGTGGATTGTCTAAATTACGATGCAGCTTAACCTTACCTTGCCTAACCAATGTCAGACCCTATCTATAGGCTTTGACAGAAAATGGTATATCTTTTCATAGCCTCTCCAAGGGGACAAACCATTAAGATCATCTGGTGGAGCTTGCCAGAGCTTCCAGGACTAGGACAACTGGTAGACCTGTGTCAGTTTTCATTAGATCTCCAACAATACTAGCAATACCAGGTAGATATAATTTTATCTAGATTGCGTTAAGCTAGCGCCTATTGTTTATAACCTTCCTTCCTTCTCCAAGCCTTGTTAATTAAGACTTTTGGCCCTTGATATTAATTTACCCCAAGATATTCAAGTCACCAGAAGCAATTCTACATAACTAGTAAACTAGCCTAAAATTTGGACATCTAATCTTTTTTTATACAAGTATTTCTATCAGTGTTAATTTCATAAAATAATTCAAATAAAAATGGAAAGAGAAAAACTGTAAATAAATAAATAATAAACAACTTCATTAAAATAATCAGTAATTAATTAAAAGTTATCAAAAAATTAAGTTTCAGAGAAAATAGAAAATCCCTAAAATTGAAAGATGTCACAACAGAATCACTCTAGCAAGCTAAGCATTATCATGTTAGTATGTGCTTTCTAGAAATTGGAAAATTACTCAGAAAATTTGTAATTCAAGTATTTAGGTTTTCCTTCAAATTTTTAAACATTTGTTCAACTTTAATTGAATTTCAAAGCTAGAAATTAATTTGCAAAATGTGGATACAAAAAAAATTCCATGTTTGGAATAAAGTTTAATACGGTGTGCCAGTCATCTATCTAACACCCCTCTGATTTCTATTGAACTCTTCCGCACATGCATTTTTGCTTTACCTATGAAACTATAAATGTATGATTGGAAGAGCGCATTTTAAAATCAGGGGTGTAGCCAGTCAAAATATACCCAGCCTTGTTTGAATGGTATCAAAGTACAATCAAGTCAACATCAAAAATAGCTTTATTAGAAATGTGTATTTGCATTCAAAATAAAAATGCTTAAATGTAATATGTTTAATGAGAGAGAAAGGAAAACCCAGTACTTGATATATTTAGATCTAAAAGAATAAAAAAGCGAATAAAGCCAAATAAGGACAGGCATGAATAAGCTTACCTCTGATTGGCTAGGTTGTGGAGAAGCAGGACTAGATACAGGGGGACTAATTGGTGCTTTGGGTAATCTTCTCTTAACCTGAATGATTGAGCGAATGAAAAGATGAATGAATGAGCAAATGATAGATGAATGAATGAATGAATGAATGAATGAATGAATGAATGAATGAATGAATGAATGAATGAATGAATGAATGAAAATTCATAGTTCCTTTTCTGATTCTACTTCTGAAAGCAAGAATGTTTTGGATAGGAGCAGTGCTTACTGTAGCAACATTAAGGAAAGAAGAATTATGAGACAAATCTTAAAATTTTTTTACCTCTGGAGCTTTTGTAGGACTTTCTGGACTTCTGCAAAAAAAAGAGTTAAGGCATGTTATCTAAAAAAGAAAATATTAAAATACAAACACCACTTCTATTTATTCTATGTTCAATTCTAGTTGTTTTGAGTTTTTATTCTCAAAAACTCAACTTTGATGATAAGAGTGTTCCAGTTCTCTGATTAGTCAATCACTAAAATCAATTTTACATTTCGTTTCCTTTATCCGTTAAGATTTCTGTAAAATCTTGATTTTATCTTAGGTAAATATTCGACAATTTGGCCCCTGAAGTTTTTTACTTGCGAAAACGTTTTATGCTAGGATCTTACTTTAGTTGTCTAGGTTTGATGGCAGGTTTAACAGCAGATGGTTGTATAGTTGGACTAGGACTTGAGGAATCCACATCATCATCATCAGAATCAAACGGGTTCATCAACTGTTTACGTGTCATTAGATTATCTTTCTCTGGTGATACTGGAGAGGTTGTTGGTTTCTCAGGAGTTACTGGACTTTGTTTGGGTGGACTTGGTGCCTTCTTCTTCTTACGATGGATCACAGTTTTAGCATTACCAGTGGTTTGAACCATTTTCTCTGGACTAGGAACACGCTTCTTGTATCTATGTGCAGGCGCATTGTCAAAACTTGTATCAGAATCAGTAAAGGTGTCATTTGGACTTAATCCAACCCGAACATCAGGAAAATTACTACCAGAAGATATGCCCAATTCTCTTGGTTTCGCTTTTGGTGTTGTTGGAGATTTAGCATCAGATTTGTCTTCTTTGCTTCCGTACATTTCTTCTGAGATACGTTCGTCTGATACCATATTATCGTGTTCACCACAAGTATAGGTGGATTCACTGGTACAAGATCCTAGCTGTTGAACCTCGAAGGTCTGGCCAGTGAAATAAGCTCGAAGTTGATGAAGATAAGTCATGACTATTAGTTTATCTGGTACAGATAATAACACCATATCAGCTGGCTCTATAAGTTTAGGTATTCCTAATTTAGCAGCAGTGTCAAATGCCTGGAAAACAGAAAGAGGTTATAATCATCAATTTGCCTTCACATCCTTTTATATACAATATTTACATACAATGAATATTTGGTGAAATTGGCCACTAAAAATAAATGAAATGGCGTTTTACGTCTTACTTATTTGCACCTGATTTTATTAATGAAGATAATGTACAATGATCTTCAATTTAGTGAGCAAGCATCAAACTCTCTGAGTCTAAGTGACACCAACAAATATAAAGAACAAGCATTATCTGTACTAGTACTTTCACTTCATATACAAATAATATTTATTTATTACTCACAGGTTGAAAAGTTAGACAGAAATAATGACAGAACTCACCAGTTTATTATTAGTTTTAATATCATGTGGTGCTAGAGCTGAATAGTCACTGAAATAATAATATACCACATGAAATGCAACGCCATGTAATGCTATCTACAGCTAACAGAAATAATAAAATCTCATGAAATGAAGCAAATTTATGGAGTTTATGACCTACTTTTCTGCATCTTATAGGGTTAACAAAAACAGGCAATGCCATGCAGTGTGCAATGAGGGAAATTTGGCCAGGCTGCTCTTTTTCGATTTCCAACTGTTGAGGTATCTGTATCCTGTAGCAATCTGAATTAATGCTGCCATGATACTATTAATGTTTTTAAGGTTTTTCTAAAAGTGTGAATTATGTTCTATTGTTCCATCTTCATGTTTTTTTCGACAAATAAGATTTGTGATAATAGACAATGCAACAGGAATTGGGCTCTAATCTATGATGTCAAAAGCACACTTTTCCTTTTAAGGAATATTTCACTTTATTTCTTTTACAATAACAAAAATTCTAAACTTACATGAGATCTGGTCTGAAATGATTAATTATTGCACAAAAAGCCATCCCATTTCTCCAAGATGTTGTCAGGTTTGTGACCTTGACCCCTTTATAACCCTTAGTAACCAGTTTACACCAGTCTAATAATTCTAGAGTAGGATCACATATTGATTGTTCAGGAGATTCACGCTGCAAGAAAAGATGATTTGATAATCATTTGAAATATAAAAAATGTTAAATGATGTAGATTCATATTCAATGAAAACTGTTAATAAATGTCATCAATACTTACTAGGAGTTTTCACTTATATTGTTGTTCTATAATGTATAATACAAAATCAGTCATTGAGCATTATGGAAACAAATGCACCTTTACTTATAGAATTGTTCCATCTTACATAAGATCTATATCAGGTAAGGACAAGACAGATAAACTTTCTAAGTAGAAACTTACTGTTTGAGATTCAGTTTGAGAATCATCAGGTGATATTTTACTAAGTGATCTGAAAATATATATTGTTAATGTAAAGTCAATGATATATCATAGAGTTTTACATCCTATTGTTTTGTTCATACAGACTTGGCAAATAATGCAAAACTGAAATAAACCAGATCGCATAATCTCTAACTGAAAAACTCAATGAGGGTACACAATTTGATATCAAGGGCTACCCTGAATCATTCTAAGATTACAAAGCTTATTGCATCTTATTGCCAGAAAACCATTAATTTAATAGTGCAGAAGGGTGAACTGCTCCTACTAGGCTAGCAACATCACCAGTTTATCAGATGGTACTTATCAACTCACCTCTCTGTTGAAGTTGGAACTATTTCTATGGGTGGTGGAGTAATAGCTCTGATCTGTGGTTTCTCATCTTCAGGGGTAGAGGGGGGTGTTCCTTCATATAGTGGTCTTTCAGCAGGGGACAGGGACTTCGTCATCTTTAATGTAAGAGCCTTTTTGCCATTACTTTTCTCTCCCTTTTTAGTCAGATTAGATGGTAGTGTACTGTATTTTCCTCGCTCAGCTGGCTTCGGTTCTGGTTTGAGAGCATCAAAGGATTTCGACTTCACAATTTCATTTGGATCCTCTTCATCTGAATCCCCGAAAGGATTGGTTGAGAATTTTTGAGGAGAAGGTTGAGTTGAGACAGATGTATTAAGACTAGAATCTTTAGAAGTATTTGCTTCCTCCTCATCATCGAAGTCACCAAATGGATTGGGGGGTGGAGGTGCTCTCTTGGTTTTTCTGGGTTTACATTTTTCAAATTTAACTGGAGGGGGATCTTCAGCTGAAATAAAGATCATACCATTTGCTCTCTATGACTTTTACAGGCGGTTAAGTCTCACAGGAACTTAAACAATTAAACAAGATTTTGGAAAAATTAAACTGAAATTTCAATTCTGAAAGAAGAACATTAAATATCAGACATGATCATTTCTGTTTAATATGAACAAAAGTGAAAGAAATATTGCAGAGCATGATTTGCATGTTCCAGACATTTACAAATACTAACATTGTGTTAGATAAGCATATTATAACATTTTGCAAAAGAAAGGCGAAAAAGAATGCCAAGGATCAGAAATGAAATGAAATGAATGGAGCTTTACGTCCTTCTTTTGCCAAGGATCAGAGACAGCATGATAACAAATGATAGTCACATAACAATACAATGTTATATTCATGCTTATTTAAAATAGGTACATAGGTTAATATACTGTCAAACAAAGATAAACACATAATCAGGAGAATTCATACAATAAATATTCAATCCAACAACAGAAAGAAACCTAAATTACCAGAAAACGAAAATGAAAATAAAAAGGACCATTCCAGAAAATTATTTCAATCTGAATTATCTTTTTAATTGCAAAACCTATTAGAAATCAATAAATGATCATTATCACTTTAATATCAAAATTTAATTTTGCTAGACACTACTTTGTTGAAGTCAGATGACATCAAAATACTTAGTTTTGGTCAAATCTTTACTTTAATGAATCTAATTGTCTTATATTTTTCTTGCACAATTTTTTTTTTCAAATTTTATCTGGTATGATCCTTTAAAGAGCAGAAAATAAAAAAAAAACAAAAGCACACAAAATAAACAAACCAAAAGGATTTAAATCATCCTCATATTCCATGCTATCATCAAAAGGATTACCAGTATTACTCTCTAGTTGGTCTATCTGATTAGTTAAATCTTTAATCTTAAACGATAGATCTTCTTTAGATTCATCATCTTCTTCTAGTTCATCTAAATTACCAATATCACTTCTTCCTATACTCATTAAACTAGCTACACTCTGCATATCTTCATCACTAGAGAGAAAGAAAGAAAAAGTATATTTTACAAGGATAACAACTTAGGTTCACAAATAAGGATCCTTTCTACCAGCTTGTCCAGGGTCAAACCTATTGGCATTGATCTTTACTAGATTATCTGTATCTATTTACAGCTGGGTCGACCTGATATATTCAAGGTCATCACAATTTCACATGGGGATAGAACCCATTGCCATCATTTGTTTGACTGACCAAGCAAATGACTTCATGTAAAGAACCAACGACTGTGCTATACATGCTAATGGGTTCAGAACTGCCTTGACTTGTGAATTGTCAAATAAAGAAGATTGATGACTTACGTTGCTTTGCCTTCTCTAAGAAATACACAAGATAATGTCAAACATATTGTAGCTGATACAACTTTCTTGGTAGCAGGTTTAAATCTGATTTTAATATTAGTTTGTGACGGTATCTGAGTAGCGTAATCCTTCATATTGATAGTTTTACTAGCTAGAATCTTCCTTCTTCCTTTTGATTGCTGAAATTACATGTGTAACATAATCGAAACCAATAATGGCAGACCAATCTTGAGAGAAAATATATGAAATGGATATCCTACTTTATGGACTGTATTTGGAGAATGTAGACATGAGCACATTATGGGAAAACAAATACATAAAAATTAGAGACAAATACACCCCTACAAAATCATAACACTATGCAAAGATTTTAAAATTCTACTTTAAAGGGATTGTTAAGAGTTTTCTAAATATTTTATGTGTATCAGGGACACCAATCAACACCATTCAATTTTTAGTCAGACGTCCCCGATGCTTATAAAAATTTTAGAAAATCTCTTTACAATCCCTTTAAATTCAGCCCTATCCATAACTGCCAAAGAATTTTAGATGAATAGACTTACATCTTCAATAACAAACGTCCATTCTTTATCTTCATATTCAGCCTGTCTGGAATCTCGGAAAAGTGTGACCATTATCTCCAGATTTTCTGGTACTGTCCAACTCACATGTCCACAATATGGATTCTTCATTGATGGCTGCCATGTTAAAACCTTCAATATGAAATAGTACAGTGTTTCTAAGCTGTCTTTTACAGACTTCTTTACAGAAGTTCATAAAAATATTAAAGAAATGAGGACAACATGATGAGTTACCTAGCTTTACATTTGAGTAATGCAAAAAGGATGTGACCAAAATATTGGCAATGATATGATGATGCCTATTTGTTGTAAACACAAAAAATATTAATAATACCTGTGAGGACTTCCTTCTATTTCTTCTTGTCCAAACAACACAGATTTTATTGGGTTGCCTTAAAATAAATTATAATGTAACTTATAAAATTCATAATATTATGTGAACAATAAATTTTGTTTTCCTATCCTAAAATGTTCACCCAGTCGTGAAGAGCTTTTTACAATATAAACACAATCTTTAAGTGCAACTTTAACAAAGTCAATTCAAATTGTCAATGATAGGCTACATTTTGTACACTTATTCAGATAATGTTTTTGAATAGAAGTTAAAAATCAACATCAGTTTTTATAAAGACAATTTTTCCAGACAACTACACTACAAACTTTATTTTCTACTTTCAGCTATCATAGAAAAATCTTTTCAAATTTCTTTATTCATATTTGAAAAAAAGGTGAAATATAAGTTGAAAGGGAATGAAAAGAAATATAGATCTTTATCTGTATTTGAATAGGTAGATCCAATAGAATACAGTGTACTCTGTGATATCCAACATCTGAGTACTCCAACATTCTGCATAATCCGACATCTTCTTCCGGTCGCGATTGATTTCCTTTGTATATCAGTTTTAAAGAGTATTCCGATATTATGTGTACTACGAATTACGACAAAGAAATCTGTAACATCTACTCATTTGACCTTACCTTGGTTGGTAGATGACCAGTTTACGTTCGCTTCCAGCAGATGCTGATATCGCAAACTAACCTTGACCTTATCTGGGTCAGTGAGCTATATATAGTAACATATGGCACTTTGAGTACTCCAACACTCTAGCTTTTCCAACATTGTTTTACGGTCCCAGAGTATGTCGGATTACATAGAGTATACTGTATTTCCAATTCCATCTGAATTTGCTGTTCTAAAAATGGTACCAGTATTTCATACACTAGTTAAGAATATTCTAAAAAGCCTTTCTTTTTTTGGCTTTCTGCTTACCATTTTTTAGTCACTTCTAATTCAAGGTCTGTTAATGATGCAGTAAATTGAAATTTGGAAGCAGATTTCCCAACCCTCTGTAATCTTTTCCAAACACTCATCTTTAGGCTGTGTAATTCATTCCATGTTGATTAACTTAATTCATCTAAACTTATAACCTGGAATATAATCATTCAAATAAAGATAACAGCTAATTAACACCGTCACACCCTTCAGGCAGTGTAGATTAATGACCCAGTTGGTTTGTTGGTAGATGATAAGTTAACGTCCACTTCCAGCAGAAGTTGATATCGCAGACAAAGTAATTGTTGTAGTTAGATGAATTGGATAGTTTGGTACTTACTGTTGGTTTGGAAGATGGATTAAGGACCCTAAAGTCCTAGATTATTTTTAACATGATGAATATTTAGATGGTTTGCATTTAAGAGTAGAATTCAGTTTAAAAGGGATATGGTTATCTAATATTTTTCCCTAAAAAATCTGATCACATTCATGCATAGGAAAAGCCTAGCATGTAAACTTAAGTAGCTTTCATCGAATTCAGCAGATAACTAATTATAAATATCAGATAATCCTCATTTATTATCCAACTATGGGGAAGTAATTCTTCATTTTATTTGATCTTACACAAGAATTTATAATTAGGAGAAAAGAAAAGTAAAATTATAGGAACTCCACCCTTGGCCTTGTACAAGTTAATCCTTGATTGCCATTGACCTTATCTGCTTATCAATAAAATATCTTTCCTTAGTTTGATGCTCTGACTTGTAATAGAGATAGAAAAAAATATGTTATAAGAACTACCCAAAATCCTACGCTTTTACATTCTGGCTTAGTCATTTATTACAAAAATTTAAATGTCTCAAATAAATGTCAACAAAATACGACTATACTATGATTCAATGAAGAAAAATTTGTTAAAAAAATATCTGTCCACGTCTGCTGGAAGATTTCTTTTTTGGCAGTTTTATCATAAATTTATTTGAGACATTCGAGAGACCGGTAACAGGCGATGAAATAAAAGTGTACCCCATATGGTTCAGAATAATCTAAAGTCATAACAAAATAATTTTTCTTACCAAAACAATCTTCGATGTTTATTAACCTTCACTTCCGGTTTAACTTATCATTTAGACTCGATTATCACAATCTGATAATTGAAATTGAAAGAGTAGAAAAGAGACAGGATAATCACAAATTTCATTAAACTCACTTTGTCTCATTATTCTGTTTAATGATTTTTTTAGGCCGACTCATATTCTTATAAAACGTAAAAAATATTACCTTTAATTATTTTTTTCAATTTCTCCAGTTAAATAAATGTCTGACATAGCTTGTCGATATCAAAATAATTAATCTTAACGCGCATGTTTGGAAGAGCTAACCCGATTTTTTTCTTTTTACATTACCTTTAATACTTTATGTCTCGACAATGGGGCACAACTCCATTTAATGACTTTTATTGACATTTTGATCAAGTCTACATTATTACATATACTTGTTAATCAAGCCTATGGCGTCCTAGGATTCAACATGGACGACTGCAACTTAGACAAACTTTCTTTGAAACCTGGAAAATTAGACAAGAAATTTGATAAAAATGTTACTGAATATAACACGGTGTTAACAAGTGAAATTGAAAAAGTAGCAATTGATGCATTGACCAGTGATTCTGGTGCATCGTACAGAGTTTTGGTGAGTGTTCAAGTTTTTGAACGAACTGGTGCTCTTGTTCAAAACTTGTTGACTAGAAAAAAAAATGAATCATTTAATGATTGATATTATTGAAATCATCCAGAGTGATTTGATTCAGCGCAGAAGAATAAATTTGTGGCGCTTACTAATAATCGTAGATTTGTGTCTAACAATCATAACAAGGTTTAATTCTACTTGTTGTCTCTTAAATCCCTTACATGCTGATAATTTTACATGTTCCTAGATAACTTTAACTGCAGACATGGGATTGGGATCTATGGCAAATACTTCTCCCTCTTAACTATGATGCATATTATTCATAAGTAATTTTTCTTACCGCTATAAAGAGAATGTACAAATTTTGTTTCTGTTTTAGGGTGGTGATGAAAAGAAACAAGTTACATTACCTGAAGGATGCGTTACTGATATTAAAGTGGAGGTCACAGCAGAAGATGGAAAGACCATGAAATTTTATGTCATTCATGCTAAAAGATTGTCAGCTCAAGATGCATCTTTAAGTAGCTTGAAGTTAGACAGAGGCATTTTATTACCTGAATTTTCATCTGATAATTTGTCGTATTCAGGTATGTATGTAAATGAAGAGAATAGAACTGAGTTAAGTGCTTGCTAAAATCAGTGGTTTTATATAAACAATTATTGAAACCTATTCAACCTGTTTGCCCCCTGTCAGTAATGTGGGTTGTAAGGGCTAATATTGAAAAAGTGTCTAAGTTAAGCCATTTGACTTAAATTGAGGTATTTTGAGGATCCATAAAATTGAACTACAGAGTAGCCTTAAGTTGCTGTCCTATCAAAATTACCTTCATTGCACACAGTAAGAATACTTTCAACTGTTGAGAGAAATCTTTCCAAACTTTTGTATTATAATTGAAAAAAGAAATAGAAAGGAAGGAAAAGAAGAAAGAATATAGAAAATAAATTGTCCATTATCAGAGATATATAGCCTAAGATATAAACTAAATGTATCTTTGTTACAGTATTATTGGCATGTAATGTATCAGTATTAAATATAACTACTACAGTACCAGATATAAAGAGTACTATAACTATAAACAATGAGAAACCTGATATACCGGTACCATTAAATATTGGTTTGACTATAATTAATATAGAAATTACATCGGTAGATGGCTCTAATAAACAGGTAGGAAAATGTATATGATATGTCTCTGTTTGAAACCATGCAGCCTTATCAATAATAACTGGACTAGGGTTCAATTTATCCAAATAGCTTTGTATCAGGCAGTGGTTGTGTGGACTTAAATAATCACTAGCTATGAAGGGTTTCTCATGCTCACAGAATCACTCTGCAACAGGTTATGTCAACTATCCATTTCTTTTTTTAACCATATCTGGCTTATACTTATTCTGATTTCATCAAAATGGTACATAACACTGAAAATTCAACTGTGTGCCTTTCTGAATTAGAATTACTTTTGTTATATTTGTCATTGCAGACCTACACATTAGAAGTGGCACGCAAACAAGTACCAAGATTTGTTAAACTCTCAGATCCTAAAGAAGCTTTGACCTACGAATGTCCAATTTCATTGAACCCATTTTACCAGCCTATTACTATCAAAGACAGTGATCCAAAACGCACTTTTACTGGACCACTGATTAATGAGCTGACCAAAATCTCTAAATATGATCCTATTAATGGCCGCCCCCTACCACCAGAATGGAGGATACAAGATTACAATGTTGATAAGAAATTATCATCAGTTAATGTTGTTATTCCCTGTATTGATGGATGTAAGTATAGTGAGCAAAATTAATGTGTATATCTTTGACTGATTCAAATTATAAACACAAGCAGTCTATTTTATTATTTGAAGTTACCATGAATAGAAATGGAAACTATGCAAACCAGGCTTACATTATGTTCATTACTTCTGGTACCTAAAAACAAATATGGCTGCTTGTGTTTCTTTTCTTTTTTTAAATCACATATTTAAATTGTATGCACATAAATATCTGTAAATTTGATTTACATAGCTTGTGAATGTGTTGTTTAGCTGTTGCATGGAATCTGCTTCTCTGATCTGATGATTCTGATCTGATCTCTGATAATGGTTTATTATTGCAAACCAATTCCACAGACAACTCTGAGATATTATGTTTGGACTTTCTCCCACAAATTTTATTTTTAGTGGCTTCCTTTTTGTTTTATTTTGAAAAATTTGCACTTTCATCAGCATGAGTATGACTTGTCTTTAGTAATCATTTTCTTCAATTGCACTGTTCATTTCTCTGTAATCACATGTTTTGTAGCATTTTCTGAAAGTGTTAAATTCACAGAAATTGGTGGATTATTAGAAAAATGCAACATTTCACCTAAAGTAGAGGTAATGTTTTTTCAGCACAACTGTTCTCTAGAGTACAAAGACTTCTTCCACTTTTGTGAGGTGCTGAGCAATCAGAACCTGGATTTTCTTCAGATTTGAATTTTTTTTTAACTTTATAAAATTTTCAATGGCCCCATTAGATTTTAAGAGTAACCTGGCTTTACCAATTATATTGTAGAATTTACAAGACAAGTTTAAAGCTACCACAGTAACCTTGAATCATACAATACAGGTACAGTTTTATTATTCAAAATTTTTTTGAAATATTCTCAACTTAAAGACACTTATTTCACACCTTATATAATTGAAGATGTGCACCATTGTAAAAACCACACCCAGTCACCAATAAATAGATAGGACTGTGGTTCACCTTATCCAAATACTTTAAGAAGTTTAAACAATTTTTCATATGAAAGGACTGCCTGTACTTCATTATCCAAAAGATCTTGCATGTTCACAATCGTAAAAATAACTTTGTGCAAGTATGCTGTTGTTTTGTCTCTCCTTACTTACTACAAAGTTTTCCTGCTATAGTGAAACAAGGAATAGTCTCAGGACATGTTGGTATCTATGGTATGAAATAGTCTACCAAAAAATTATTCTTTATAACTTTTAGTCTAGAAAATGGGAGAAGAATTTACAGCAGATTTATCATGAAAATGATGTGAATGAATTGGTGAAAACAGGAAAAGAAGAATTAGAAAAATATTTTGATGCCTTGCCAAAACCAGGTAACTAGTCTTTATTAGATGAATTGTGACTGTTTTAAGTTAATTAAGCATCAATTCAGTTAAATATTGATTGACCTTAGAATTAAAACAAGTCAATCAAAGAGCTATGCCGAATCCCCAACATAATGAAATAAGTTGTAAAATATTGCATTCGATATTGATCAAGAGGTTCCCAAAGCATAATATTTAGCCTTTTATGTGGCTATTCCTTAATAACATAATTAACTTTTTCAACACTAGTAACCACATAGAATGATGTTATATTTGACAGGTCTCTATCGACAGTTTGAAGAAGGGGAATCCCCATTAGATTATCTAGAAACTGCCATTCAGAACTACGCTACTGCTGTTAAAAATAAACCTAAAGATCCCAGTTTACATTTACAACTGGGTTTATTGTTAGAAGAAAAATATTATGTTGAAGATATGCATGGTTTGAAAGCTGAGGTGAGTAAAAAAATAATTTTATGTGCAATCAAATGTGGCTTTGATATGTTGTGAGTTTCAATAAAAAGAAACATTTTTTGCTGATTTCTGTCAGTTTCAGTGTTCAAAGTCCACTTAGATCCTCTTGACTTCTAATATTTAAATTCAAATAAATATTGGGGTATATGCTGCTTGACAATGGTTTTCTTCAATAGTCCAATTCTGTGCAGAAAAACATGGATGTTGAAGTTTATTTTATCGGGCTTTATAACATCCATTCCTTTGTTTGTAACATCCAATGTTATTCATGATTGAATGAGACCTTCGACTATATTTTTTGTGGATGGTACTTTTTCAGACCTATGATGCATTACCAACAGCTAACACTGAAGCTAAAGAAGGTTCCAAGTTAGAAGAAGCATTAGCTATATGTCAGTTACGTGGAGTTGATTCCACAGCACCAGTCTCCCTGAAACTGAAAGCTATAGATGAAGAATATCATCATTTACTGGACTCAGGACAAAGCCATAGAGCAGATCAAGTCATGGGAATCTATGCCTGGTTCTCAAAGAAGATGTCTCAGGTATGGCTTCATCCATTTTGACAAATAAGTTCAAGGTTGTAAGGTCAGCAATCATTAAGCTTACATTTATGGTTCCTTGGCCACATTTTACTTGAAGCTACCTTGGCTCAGTCTGGATATTTGGAGATTAATTCATAATAGTGTGTTGAGATAGTACCTTCAGACTTTTTAACAAGGTTTTCGCTGTCAATGATGCAGGTCAAAATAGCTTATATCAGATGAAACAAAAGGTCTTGTAAGCTACTGACAGTTTACACTAGTTAACATTCATCTACAGTCTAGCTTTCAAAATTTAACTTACTGCACACTGCAGGGAATTGTCAATCTTCATTAAAGAATCATATGTAGATGAGAATATATTTTTGAATTCTGCCATATATTTACTTCCAGGAAGGTATGGCAGCCCAGAAAGTAACAGATGAAGAATCCCCCCTGGGACAAGCCTATTTGAAATACCTGGATGCTTTATCTCTGGATGAAACGAAATCCCTTTATAATTTCCATGTTGGTAGATTACTGGTTTTACAAGGGGACTATAAAGAAGCCATTAAAAGACTGGAAGTTACAATCAACTGGAATCCACAACATCAAATGGCAAGGTAGACTTGAACATCTTGAAATTAAATTGCTATATCAGAATTGGCAGATCTAACGTATGTTTGTATGTATGTCTGAATGATATTTTTCTGGGATGGTTTATTTCAGATTCTATCTGGGGTTAGCTCTAGCTCTACAACATGGTGGACCTGGTAGTCGTAGTAACGAAGCTATTAGTTATCTATCAGAAGCTATGGAAACCTTGTTAACAGAAAATAGTAAATTAGCCATGACAGATGATGAACCAATGTAAGATCAGTTTTATGAACAATTCAAAACTCATCTTTGCATAAGGGTGCTTGGTTTATTTTGCTATCTGTCAGCCCTGCAACCAGCATAACGGACAGGTTGAAAAATCTAGGTATTATCTCAATCTATGCTAGGATTGAGCCTTGGACAATCAGGTTTGCAGACAATTGTCAGCGCTCACTGAGCCACCCCAGCACCTTCTAAAGACCACAGATCTTTAGGTTTATTGTCATATTTGAATCCAATGTAATTGTCTTTGTTTGATTTCAGATTACGACGTGAATTATTATGTGAGAATTTATTACGGTCTAATAACGTGATATTACTACGTGGTATCATACAACTAGGTCAACTTTTACTCTCTAACCAAAATACATCAACTATTTCTGCTGAACATGTTTTTTATACGTAAGTAGTTTTACAATTCTATGTACAGTCTGTATTGATTAGAATCCAGTCATTTATTGTCATCATGGTTTGTAGATGAGTCTGCCTATCTTGATTTTAGTATTACAGTCATCTGAGTGGTCAATCACCTCCATTAATTACAATTTTAATTTTATAATCCAGATTACTGGACTTAAACCTACTCAAGGTTTATCGAAATAAGGCCCAAAATTTCAAAATCATAAAGTCTGTACCCAATTTGATTCTTTTTTTAAAAAAGATTCTTCTACAATGCTTGAAATGTGACATAAGTTAGTAAATTCTTTGATTTTTGAGAATTTGAATGTATAGGCCTACTTGTTGCTTATTTATTTTTAAATTTTTGTTTTCAGTGCCAGTTTATTAGCCTCCCAGGTTCTACCAACATTATCTCGTGGAGACTTATATAAACAAATAGAATGGATATTACTAGACTCTCATTCTAATTTATTGGAACTCTACACCAAATCTCCAAATGCCACAGAAACACTTATTGTTTTACACTGTGAAAGATTGTCTGGTCTTATTTTCCATTGTACGATTCCACAAAATGGACCATTACAGGAACTTCAAGAAAATGTAAGTACTGAATAAATTCTAATACACTACCTGCATGAAGAACTATAAATGTTTAAAATGGGTTTGTGAGTAAGTTAATCAGGCATTCAAGTGGAGCTAACAAATATGCCTCTCCCAAACAACAAACTGACATCACATAGCCATCTTGTTTATCAAACATTGTCTTCATGATTTAGGGATAGGACTCCAGTATTTCATTTCCAAATTTGACATAAAGGATATCTTAATGTAAAAATGAATTTTTCAATTTCAGACTTGTCAGAAATTAGTTAAAATTCAGCCATGTAACAGTCATGCTTTATATCTCCTGGGAACAGCTCAGATGGCAAGATATGAAAATAGTTCAGCTGGGGAGGCAGCAGATAGACTATTAGCAAACGCAAAATCATCTTTTAAAGCAAGTATAGCATTAGAAGGTCAGCCAAAGTCAGGGGATGTACCAGAATTAGTGAAAGGTATGTTGGTTACATTGGATTATAATTTATCATCTAAAACACTTAAAGAAACTGGAATTTTTTAGCTGAGCTATTCAGTAATAGTGTTCACAGCTCACCGTTGAAATTTGAGCTTTCAAATCCATGTGTATCCAGAATTATTTGTGTTTGAATGTTAAAATGATACTCTGTGATATATAGAAAAGATATATACAGAGATAGTGAGTAAAATTCCTAGTTTGAAGTATTTTTATAGAAATTATGTGATTTTTGTACATTTCTAATACTTCTGAAGACTATTTACATATATTCAAAACTTGAGATCCATTCTCCCAACTGGTCCTTGGTCAAACTTCTTGACATCTTTCCTGTATTATCTTTATCCCTTTACAGCTGGGTTGACTTGAATAAAGAGGACAGATGAATATTCAAGGTCACAAGATCAAAAGTTTAGTACATGTATTGTAGAGTTATCTTCTTGAAATTATGCAGTGTGGATGCTTGATTTGTGCATCTCACAAGCTGTCCTAGTGGTGACCTTCCAATTACAGAAATTGTCATGACTCGTTCTTTGCACACATTGTAGTTTTTCTATCCACCTTTAGAGCAAGGATGGTGGCAAAAGAAATTAAAAGAAGAAGAAGAACGAAAAAAGGCAGAAGAAGCCAAGAAAGCTAGTGAGAAGAAACCAGGACCAGCTACAAGAGGAGGAGCTACTGGTAGAGGGGCACTTGCTGCCAGGGGTAGAGGAGCTCCTACAGCTCCTAGAGGAGGTATGGTGATTCATAATACACAGAATCTAAGATGTAATCATATTATTTGTTTTGACTTTGAATAGAATGAGATATTAAATAAATATCTTGTTTAAAATTCTTGGAATTGCAAAAAGTAGGATACAGTTTTCAAATGAGGTAATTGATGACTATATTTCAGGAGCAGCTGCAAGAGGGGGAACAACTCCAGCTAGAGGTGGAGCAACAACCAGAGGAGGGGCAGCTGTAGCACGAGGTGGAGCAACAAAGGTTTGTGAGGTATTCAAACAACAACTCGTAACTATTAACATGTATATTATTTTTTTCATTATCATTTTAAAAACTATTGTAAATCTATAATTATAATTTCCCAAACCTGACATAATGTAGACTAAACATAAATGTTACTTTTTCAGCCTGCAGCAGGGGCTAAATCTGCATCTCCTGCAACAAAAACCAATGTGAAACCAGCAGGGTCAAAAGGTCATGTCTGTGAAGCAAAACCATCAGCTACAGGTAATTCAGTATTTTCTTGATGGTGAACCTTAAAGGGTGTACAGTCTTCCACAAAAATGGCACATTTCTCTCGTATCATCTATCCCAGGGGAAAAAGCTATCAAAATTATCTGTTGGATCCTGTATGATTCAGAGTTTTTAAATTAAGACACTCTTACTCTATACTACACATCAAATCATCTGAATTGAATACTTTCTGTTTGTCCATCAACATTTATTTTGTTCCTCCAGATTCCAAAGCAAAAGCGAGTTCACCATCAACACCACAAACACCAGCTACTGACAATAAACCAGCAGCATCTGGACCTAAAAATACACCATCCTATCTACCACGGCTTGGATTAGGTAGAGCCTTTAAAGCATCCAATGAAACTGAAGAAGCTAAGAAATATTATGAAGAAGTTATTGCTATGGCACCTGAGGTAAATTTTCATAGTTATTCTTGGTAAAGAATCATTTGCTTTTGTTTTATAACAAGGTGTAAAGAAAATTTACTAGGGTCTGATTGCCTTCAATTAGTCATCTTCCAGTCCATCCAGCTGAAAATGGGTACAGATAATCAGGAAAAAAATTAATGTCAAGAGGTTTGGTCAAGTACAAGCTGGCAGAAAGGTTCCTTTGTGAAAATAACTTGTAAATTATGGTCCTTTCTTTCTTCAGAATTACCATTATTCATTTTGGAATAAATCGTAAAATGTTCTTCCATTAAAGGTCCATGATGCTTATATAGAGAGTGCTGAAATGTTGACGAAAACAGAACCAATGGCAGCTGTAGATATATTTAGTAAATTTCCAGTACCAGAAAACCCATCATTTGATGATGCCTATATTTTTGGAGAGATTGTAAGATTATTAATGAAAAATGAAAAATATGATGATCCTAGGCTAACCACTAATCTTATAGCTTATGGTAGAGTTTTAGGACTAGGTAAGTCATCCAGATCATCCGCATAACTAAAGCTGACTTTAGCTTATGTTCTTACATGTTCGTTAAGCAACAGTACGATGATTATGCACATCTTACCGTTGCTTTCACAATGCCGTATTTGTGAAACAGTAAGATAATTATTGTACTGTTGCTAAAGGAACATGATGTTCTTGTGGATTATACAACCCAACTATTGGGATGCTATCAATGGAGTGGAAATTGTAAATGGCAGAACTTTAAAAGGGAAGGAGACCACTGCATATAATTATGTTCTAGCTGTCTTGATTAATTCCTTAGAGCCAAGCTAATGTCTATGTTTTCGAATAATTTCAGCTGCTTTGGAGAAGAATGTAAAAATATTGGAAGAAAAGTTTAAAAGTGAAATATTGAAGAATGTTTATGCTGGAGTCAATCATAAATCTGTAGATGATCCTGATATGCAACAATTTTTTAAATTCAAACTTTGGATTTGAAATTTTGAAATAACTGAAAGCTCAGATTGTCCTGATAAGAATCCATTAAATTGATTCATTATGGAATTGGTAGATGCATATGAATTTCCCGACAAAAGTCTGCAACATCCCTAAATGTAATTTGTTAATGCTTATTTGGATTCTGACAAAATTTTGCACCATTTAAACTAATATGTCTCGCAGCCAAAATTATTATGAATATGTGATACTAACTTGTTTCATTTATTAATTTATAAGAAAGTTATTAACTGTGATATTTTATTGTTTTTGTGATATTTTACAGCCTTGTTAGTTTTATTTATTTAAAGATATGTTTATTTATTAATATTAGAAATAAAAATTTTATCTGTGAATTGACTCTTCTGATAAATCTGCATCCAAGAAATGATGATTACATGAAATTGTGTCATCCTATTTGTCTACATCTGATTTAGTTACTGAAGACAGGAAAACCCATCCTGTGTTCAATGAGAGAAATTTTGCCTGGAGAGAAACATTTGGCTTCTATTTTCTCTAGGGATCTTGTCCTATCTATCCAAACACATTTTCCATGTAAACCTTTCTGATCTACATCAATGATCTTTTCACATGCACAGCCTTTAGTGCGAAGGGCCTGGAATATTGTCCTAACTGAAAAACTACACATTTTGCATCACAAACAGGATGAAACCAGGTTGTAAAATCTCCCCCAAATTAGTTTGACCTTGACTGACATAAGGCCTTATTAGTCCTTGATTGTGCTTGTGATCATGTTTGTAATACTGTAGTCCCTATGTTAGTTTATTAGTAATAAATAGAAATACAAGCATAACCCTGCAGTACGTTAATCAGCTGCTCAAGTAAAGTCATGCAATAACAATTCTTGACTGAAAACTGTCAACTGTTTAGAGAAATTTCATTTCACTCATAAAATAGTAATAGATACAAACGATGGTCAGTAAAACAAACTACCGGTACCAGATAATTACTGCACAGTATGTGTTTCGGACTAACAACAAAACCGATTCGGGTTATGTTCGAGAGAAAGAACGTCTGTCAAAAATGTCAAGTTTGAGATTATTATTGGCACAAAATTGCCAGAGTTTATTGATATTACACGAATGTAAGGCTTGTATGAGATTGTCTACACAAAATAATCGAAAATTCAATAGAAGTTCTATAATTTATCGAGAAAAGGTAAGAGAGTTGGAAAGTGATTTTCTGATTCATTCGGACATCTTTGTTTTTCTCATATACATGTAATATAATCCGAAAATTTCTGTAAGCTTCGCTTTCTGAATGACCTCTTTTATTTAACATTTGATCACAGAACTAGTTCTATGATTTGATTCGTAGGATAAAAAGAGTCCAGGTAACAATTAACAATTTTGTCAGTTCATGGGTGGCTTAAGTGGAGTATCTCACAGAAATAATACTGAAGGAAACATTTTATCGGATTTGCCTGATGTTCAAGAACTTAATCATCAATTACCTTATACCTTTTAGAAGAGTAAAGAGAAAGAGGTTACAGTTAAACTATCAGAAGCTGATAAGAATAAAGATTATATTGGGCCACCAGATTCTGTGTCAAATTTACGTCAAATATCATTCCGAACTTTAAACCAATCAGAATTAGAGAAGAAATATCACACACGTTCTGAAGATGTTATGAAATTCAATCAGGAATTTTGGGAACAACATAACACCAATTTTGTCAAGGTAATCTGGTTAATACTATTTTAGGCCTTCTATTTGGACAAGATGTGAGCTGGCTTGTTTTCATGGAAATAACAAAAGTAGGCTACATAATAATGTTTTGTGGCTGAAAACTATTTAAGAACTCAGAAGCTTAGTGTGACCGTTTATACTCTCAGGTTTAAATGATTGATCACTGAATTTAAGTGGATTGAAATCATTAATTAAGAGAGCATTTTAACACCTTAACCTTATTTGCCAATACATCTTTATAAACAAATGGAATATAGTTATACAAGTATCAACTGGTGAATCCAGATCAGCTGCCTGAAGAAGTTTTCAACCATAAAATCTGACACATGGTTTTCCTCATTGTAACAAATTCTTTTTTTTGAGATAAAAATTAAGATTTACATTCTCATGCACTGTTATCACAGCAGTGTCATAATGCTGGCAAAGACTTGACATATAAATTACTTTCAAAAAAACACTAATTTATTCAAAGGATTCTTTTCATTTAATTTATAGGAAAAAGATAAATTTGTAGAAGCTAGATTGAAACTAAAGAGAGATGGAGAAAATACACTGAGTGCTGAAGAAATGTCTGAATTTTATAGAGAATTTTTAAATAAGAATTATAAATCTCATGTACAGTATAACCTGTAAGTTTTTATGTAGCTTTTATATTTAATTTTGAACTTAAAGGGTTTACTTTTACCTAAAATTACCAGTTTCCAATTCATTTTCATTTCGATAAAGGAAAACTCAAAATATCTTTAACTGTATTTTAAAGATCCAACATGCTAACAAAGTTAATGGAGGAACATAGATTATAAATATTTACTTGGAATAAATTTAATATTTTTACTAGAACATTTGGTCTTCCTGTTACTTTATCGAATAGTCCTTTTTTTATTACAGAGAATGGTATAAAAGAAATATTTCCCTACTTGGCCCAGCATTTAAAGTTTCTATACATAGATTACTACAGAAAGTTGGAATCAGGTGAAATGTGTTAAAGCAAACCAGAAAGAAACAGCCTTGAAAATGTCACTGTACATCAATATAGTGTCCATGTGTCAATTTTGTTCAATGGAAATAACTTTCTGTCATTGGGGCTCTCAAAATATGAAGCAAATATGTTTCTAAATGAAGAGTTCTTCTGTATATAATGGTTAACAGTTGATAAATTTAAATGTGTATGTGTATTTTTAATAATTGTGTTACAACAAATAAATCTTTTTAAGTAATATTGACTGCAATGAAACTCCTACAATTATTTGACTAGTCAAGCCATGAAGGTGAATTTTTCTCTCCCGATAGCAGTAATATTTGTAAGGTAAGAAGAGGCAGAATCGTTTGGTATCAGATGTGTATTTTAGCAAACCTCCAAAAGATTACAGATTCTACCATTAAAGAGTCAAAATGACCTTACAATGTGTATATAAGCTGCTTGAAGAGGTCCTTCTCAACAATATTTGCTATCATCATTAGTTCCAATACACTTGTCATGTTAATTGAAGTGTTAAAAATGAGGCAATGAATATTCAACCAACAAGAGCTCCCAATCCTCAATTTTGAAGCTATGACTGACTTTTATGTGGTAGTAATGTCACATCAAAATGGCTGCTATAAGGCCACATGGATCTCTTCCAACCAGAATATGGGACACTCAAAGGGCATGATTAAAGTCAGATTAGATTATATATTTTATTATGAAATCTAGATAAATACAAAAACTATTATATATCCTATTCTATAAAATATATATCATACACATCAATCAATCAACTTATATTTACATTGTCTCCATATAATACATATATACCATTTAAACATCTCATACAAAAACATCACCATAATCCTAAATGTAACGTTCATAGATAACACTATTTTGTTCTTATATTAATGCACATAATCTCAAATTGGAGAATTCGGTTAAAGCCAAAACACCAACAACAAATATCACTCTTACATGCTATCAATTATGAATTGAAGTAATAAATCATTATCTTATTTCATGTTAAATAGTATTGCAATAACAAGATTTCAACTTTTGCACATAACCAGTCTTATAGTGTCAAGTCAAAGCGATAATGTGGAATGAGTCCATATATAAGAATTCTACAATGAATGTGATTAAATATCAACTCAGTCATGTAAACAACCATAGTCCTTAAGTATAAACATGCCCTATTCTGCTCAGAAACTGTACTGGAAAATCATGATTTAGAACTTTTCAAGGAAGCTGAAATAGACAAAACTTTATTATTACAATTTTGTAGATTTTGGGGGAATACAGTTTGTAGCACATGGGGTCTCAGTTTATTGTCCATTCAAACGACTGCTTTATGGACATGAGGAAGTAGGGTTGAAAATTCCAAAAATTACTTACATTCCACTTTCTCTAATTCTGCCAAGAACTGAGATTCTATCAAAGGATCATCACAGTTGAAGGAATCATCATTAAATAAATCTACAACAGTAAACAAAGTTACATTTAAGATTGCCATTCAATACATTATGTGTTTTCTTTCACATTTACTGGATGACCAATTTTCTTAAGAATGATATAATCCCTAAACATGTTAAGTCAAAAAATAATTACGTTTGTGGCACATCAGAAACAGATTGACCATAACAAAAGCAAACTTTTCCCATGTTTGATGAACATAACTCTATTGGATCCTTGTAAATGACAATCATTTGCCTGCCAATACCTTGTTACTATAGATGCCAGGCAAATGAATGAATCCTAATTTCTTGAGCCTTGCAAATTCTTGTAACATTAATAGAACATACCTTGAGTCATTGTAATTGATTTATTAAGAGGCAGTTTATCAGTTGATTGAAAATTTTTAACTGGATTTTGAACCGCTGTGTTTTGTCCCGGTTGATTTGTCTTGGTGAACCCTATAGTTGACTTCTTCTTAAAACTAAACTTATTTTGAGATGGGGCGGAACCTCCAGAGGGAGGTTTTACAGGAGGTGTAATATTCTTCAAAGGTTTACGGACTCCAACTGATGTCAAAGGCTTCTTCACCAAAGTCTGGTTTGTGGAATTTACATTTTGATATGTGGACACAACCCTTAAGTTTGTTTTAGAACTTAATAAATTTGAGGAAACTGGCCCTTTGTTCATAATGTTTGGCTGAAGTTTTTTACAATTTGTAGATGTTTGCACACTTTGTTTCACAAATTTTGTATCACACACTTTATCTGCAGATGTCCTAAAAGTATTTTGAACTGATTGGTTTGTACCTATTTCTTGCACTTGATTTGATACTGTTTTTTGATTAAAAACTTTCTTTTGCACTGTTGGATTTGACACTACTTTTTGAGCTGAAATATTTGAATTTCCTTTGTGAGCTGATGTGTTTGACACTCCTGCCAATAGATTTGATATTTTTTGGGGGGAAGATGAAATTGAAAGTCCTGTTTGAGCTGATATATTTGAAATTCCTTTTTGAGCCAATGAGTTCGACATCCTATTTTGCACTGGTGGAATTAATACTCCTTTTTGTGTCGATGTCGTCGAAACTCCTTTTTGAACAGAAGAGTTTGATATCTCTTTTTGAACTGGAGGGTTTTCTAAATTTACATTGATATCAGAAAATGAAAAGTCATCATCGAACATTTCTTGAAGTACCTCATCATCCACAATATTGTCATTCACGTCTGCTTTCACCTCCTCCTTCACTGGAGGCTCCTTGGGTGTTGCCTGGCTCTCCAAAACTTCATCAGGCTCTGCTAACTGACGTAAAATTTCATCAGAAATACTGGTATCCAGAAAACTATCATTTTCTTCCATAAAATTATCAATTAACGACTTAGGCTTTGGCACATTTTTTGGCTCAGGTTTTTCTTCAGTAATTTTTGGAAGAACACACATTGAATTTTTATTGATCACAGAATTCAGATTGTTGTTATTAAATTGTTTGTCACAATTCAAACCATTTCGCGATAAAGATCTCTGAAAATCAGATCGACTAGTTCTAGAGGGATTGGTTTTGCCAGTTGGTGTGCTTGTTAAATGCTTACTTGCATCGAAACTTTTATGTTTACGAAATGGACTCTTCACAGAATTTCCAACATTATTTTCTACTGGTGAGATATTTGGACTTCCAGAAAAACTGTTATGTTTCCTGAAAGGTGATTTTGTTGAACTGTAGAAAGAGTTTCGAGACAGGAATGAATTAGCATTTGCTGAATTTGCAGGCACAGGTTTATTTTGAGCTGGAATTACAGCCTGCTTTGATATCACAGTTGGTTTATTTTGTTGGTTATATAATGTAGGTTTCGGAATAATTTTTGGAACACTATTTACTGCTGCAATCTGTGTAGCACTAGACTTGTTGATGATATTTGGTCTTTGATTCACAGGGGCATCTGTCTTTGACACAGTTCTCAAATCTTTGGACGGCTTTCCAGTCAAGCCAAGACTATCACGTTTACGCTTGTTACTCTTGCACAGTTCCGCTAGTTTATTTTCAGACATTTGTGTAGCCTGCATGAGAAATGAATCTTCATCAAAAAGTTCATCATCACTCCAGCCATCTTCTGTATTGTCAGAGGAGGATGTCTTAACACATTTAATAACACCTGTTGGAAGCAGTGTATCATCTTCTAATAATAGATCTAAATCAGGATCATCTAATAAGGTCTTCTTACATATATTATCATCACTGAAATATCAACCATAACATGTAAAAAGCTTCAAGGAAAAAATGTATACCTGATCAAAAAGCTATTCAGAAGTACATACAAGTTTTTTAAGCCCTTTTTAAGGTCAAAAGTATAAACTTACGTTAGAATTTCACAAGGGATTTCACACACTTCTGTAACTTTCACTTCTTCTTCTATAAAAAGCATTTGAAAATAGATGAATAAAATATTAATTCTTGTATTAAATCCTACAGAAAACAAATTAATGGTGAAAATCTTTTTTTCCACTCTGGTACTTTGTCCTTTTTTATATTCGAGACTTTTAATATACCATGTACTTACCTGCTTTTCTCAGAGCTTCAATTTCGTCTAACCAAGCCTGATACTGCTGCGTAAAATCTGGTGCTATGAGGACTCCTTTAGATCTTTTCTTAACACCCCGCTTACTAAAAAACAAAACATTAGAAAATGTTCAAAGTGAATGTGTAGAATGAAATAACTTGAGCTGTGATTTTTCTTGTGGACAATGGGGAATCATGTATGTCATTAACATCAGCAATGAGAATCAGGTATGATATTCAAAATATTTGCACCAATAACATAAAACTGATAGAATGAGAAATTAAAACCTTTTTTTTCGAGTTTCTCTCTTCACAGCATCTGCAAAGCCAATATTTGGTTGGCACAAACCCAGCAGTGATTTATCTTTTACATCTTGTTCTTCATACTACAATCACAAAACATCGATTAGATAAAACAACATTTGTACCAAACACACATCAACAAATGAGCTTACAAATTGTATTGAAAATATAGAGCTGTAAGATTAATAAAAGAAGTTTTCTTACATTAAGTTCATCATCAGAAACTTTGAGTCGTTGTGCAAGTTCAGATACTGCTTGTGTTTTCTTTATAGGTCCTGAAATAAAACAAACAATTCAATGATTTTAAATACTTTTTTAGTAGTTTTTATTTTGAAACAAACTTGTTGTTCCACCTGGTACTAAGTTTGCTTACTTTGAATGTTATAAAATAATGCCATGGTACAACATATGTTAACCTCTATAATTAAATTACAAAATGCTTGAAAGTGAGATATTAGTAGTACTTAGGTAACAGTTGGACCTTTGATATAACTTGATGAATATTATAAAATTTATGATAGGGATATAATGTATCGTAAAGGTTGTAAGTAGACCAACTTACGTTTCATGGCTTGTCTAATAGCATCAGGTGATGTACAATCCCATCTGACATCACACATTGATTCTGTGGCATTCTGAGAACATAAGAATTCATCCCGAAATATTTCTTTAATTCTCTTCTCTGTTGGTGTAAGACCAGGACTCCCATCTAAAATTATTAGTAGAGTCAAAGTATATTAACAAATTATATACTAATTTTTAGGCACTTTGATACAATAAAACCCTACTATCACTGACTAATGTCAATATTGAAATGTAGCCTATTTCATATCAGATATAGAAGCCACCTAAACAATTTTATATATCTAAGAAATGTAACACTAGTAAGTAAGATCCATTATACTAATTAAGAACTATGGGATAGATCTAATTTTCCAGTCAACTCATTTTGTTTCACTCACCCTTTTTTGAGGCCAAATCTTGATCCAAGTCAATGGTAAATTTATTATTTTGGGGGGACCTTGGTGGTGTTGTGATTATTTCATCATGTGATTGTTTAGCATTAGGCTTGATCTTTCTGTATGGTTTCTTAGTCATGTTCTGTAGAATAGAACGTTTATCTGGTGTATGATTATGGTCGACATTCTTTTGATTTTGATGCAATTTTAATATTGAGGTTTTGTTTACATTTTTATCTGTTTGGTTCTGGGCTATTTTTAGCGTTTTAGGGACAGTGACATTCTCTTCCACTTTCGTCCGACGGGAAGATCTTTTCATCTTACGTTTTTAAACATTGCTTTTGGGATAGTTTTGTGGATGTTAGACAATATTTATCTAATTTTAAGCAATTTTACTAAATTTTGTCGCCATTTTCTTTTTGTAAAGCCCTCCGAATCCGAAACGAGGCTACAAGACTTGTTAAAAATAAGGAACTTAAGAAAAGATAAAATGAATACATAAAACCGAAACGAAATATAAAAAGGAATATAAAATTCATCAAGTTCCTACAGTTTAACATTAGAAATTATTCATAAAGTAGGTAATATTTATACAATTAAGATTTTAAAAACGTTTAAATATGAGTGTACGAATCTATAGACTTTTGTCTCCTTCAAAGGGAAGTTTTTAACAGGTTGTTATACCTTTTCTCCCCTTATGTCAGAACCATTTATGGCTTTTGTTGGCTTAAGTTTAATCAAATTTTATGTCAGATGTCTGTGGTTCCTGAATTTTGAAAAGTCTAAACCGCATATGAAGTCACTATCGTAAAAGAAAAAAAAGAATGCATAGGTTTAACGGAATTCCATAACCACAATAGAACCAACCTGTCACGTAGTCGTAGAGATCCTCTATGAGGAAGGCGTCGACATCTCTTTATCTGGTCTGAATAGTTTAATATAATTTTTAAAATAAAATCTTTAATAATAAGGATAGAAAATTAGGTCTTAGTCCATTTTACAAATTTGTCCTGTAAAATAAGATAACATAAAAAAAAAATACATATCAAATAACATAATGGTATGGACATAATTATGTGAAAAATAAAATAAAATATAGCTTGCCAGGCAAGGTAATATACGCCCAGTGGCAGTTTTGATTTTAAATAAATACACTTGGCAGTACAGTAACAATTACCAATATAAAATATTAAATCTTCAGTCTTCCACTTCTTTTGTGCTTTTTGGGGCGATACTGAATAATATTACCAAGTTTCATCAAAATCTGTCAAGAATTGGGCCTAGTTATAGAGCGTTTTTAAGAACAAGGGAAATAACTCATACTAATTATTTTTCGATTTTTCTGATTTTCAACAGGTTCTACCTTGATAACACACACCAGGTTTTTTCAAAATCCGTCAAGAATTGAACCTTCTAGTTTTTACAAGCTAAAATTGAACGCGTTTTCAAGAACAAGGGCAATAACTCATACTAATAATTTTTTGATTTCCCCGATTTTCTGTAGAGTTCATCTTTGGGTGATAACAAACACTCAGACCAAGTTTCATCAAAATCCGTCAAGAATTGCCTCTTCTAGAGTGTTTACGAGCGTTTCATGTACAAGGGCAATAACTCATACTATTTTTCTGATTTTAATAGGGATCATCCTTGGGCGATTAAAAACAACCATAGCATGTTTCGTCGAAATCAGTCAAGAATTGTGCCCTGTAGATTGTTTACAAGCAATTATGGACGGAAGGACGGACATGGGTGACGGCAATTTATATACCCCCCATTTCATGTGAGCGTATAAATATTAAGAAGGCTATTTGCCGACTAAAGGTATAGACAGGTGGGAGGGGAAGTTTGAAATACCCAAAAGCCCAAGCCAATCAATATTTGTTTTAACTGTAGGCCTACCATCGAATGAATAAATATGAATATTGAATACCAATCCCCGATAATCAATTGATTTATGAATAAAATTATTATTCTAACATGTTGTATCACCATGAGTTTAAAACCATTCAGAAGGTAATATTTTTTTACTGGTACACCTTTGCATACTCAATATCAGCTAGCCTTGGTTCTGTTGACTGCTGATTTATATTTGTTTAGTATGAAACTGTGTGAATCGGGAAAACTTTTAAGGTTAAAAAATCTCGCGTCCATCTCTTCATCACTGTCGTCAAATAGCAAAGTACACGAGGCTTGAGACCACTTTCCGACTTTGGCGTCAATCGTCCTGTGTGAATCCCCGTGCTGTGTGAATCCCTGTGCTGTGTGAATCCCTGTGCTATGTGCATTTAGAGTCCCAAAATCTATACATGTATATAGGATTGAGAATTTTCTTTTTCTTTTCTTGTGCTCAAAATGGGACTAATTTAATCTAGATCGTTTTTATTTCAGACTTCTGTCTCTGACACCTCGACTCTTTATTAACCATTTCTGGTCAATTCTGACATCGATATTACTGTTGTCATTTCTTAGTGTATGGATCACATCATCAGGTAAGTCTAATTCTTTGACCCGTTTTTTTATAATGAGAATGATGTTAAAACACTGTTCAAGTAACTGTGTATTACATCACGTGTGACGTAGAAGCCTATGTAACATAATTACAGAATATAATATTTTGTAAAATAGGTCCGTAAACCTACCTGAAAAACGGCATCTGTGACAGAGCATCCCAAAGCAGATAAACACGGACATTTCGTTGGACATAACATAACATCTTGTTAATATGAACAGTTTTCTATTACTGTATGATTCAGCGCCACAGAGTTGTCAAGTTTTCTTTCCCACTTTAAATTGATTAAGTTTAACACTTGACATAATTATATAATATACATGTCATTTTTATTTTTCTTTTCAGACCAAGATGACAACAAATGTACCTATTCTATTCTTAATGATTTCTGGAACAATAATGCAGAAAGTTTGAAAGAGTTCGGTTGGGTGTCCAGGAAACCACAGAAGAAAATACTGATCGTAGCGTATATGAGGAGTGGATCAACATTTACAGGCAGTATTATACAATCTCATCCAGACGTCTTTTATATCTTCGAACCTTTACATGCTTTACATCGATACAAAATCAATTCTAAAAGATATCGATCAACCACTTTTCTACTGGACGGACCTAGGTCGGTATTTAACTATTTATGTGGATCTGGAACAAGTAAATTATATTCTACACAAGTAAAAGACGCTCGTGGATTGATTTAGCCATTTCTTCGTGTGTAAAATACTGTTAATCAAAAAATATACCGACCGATTCAACGCCTCGACGTGCCCTTTCAGAAGTGGAGATGCCGATGAAATGAAAAGTTTGCAAAACCATAATAGAATATTCACAATGCTCATCATTGATTTAAAATTGCACCATCCAATCGACCTTTAGCAATTATTAACAATGATCGACGATGATTGCTTTAATCATGCGGCACAATCTGAACCTTGGTTGTTCGGAATTACTCGTATCCAACACGAAAAAAATCACCTACTCCACTTGCTTCATACAAATACCACTAATTATACCTTTATCGTTTCAGAGAAATTGACGATGTTAGTTCTTCTGATGAGATGATTCAGTTGGTTTTAGAATCTTATTTTGCTTGTGATTTCCTGAATTTGGATCTTAAGACCCTGCAAGATCGGTTTCCTTTTTTAACTCACAGACATGCTGCATTTTCAGAATGTGTGAAAGCCAACCCTGGAATGATCGGAGTGACACAATGTTTGGATACTCTTTATCAACATTGTTCATCTGCCAAAGCATCGGCGATTAAAACAATCCGAACTTCAATGTTTGTTGCGCGTAATATGCTTCTCAATGACCCGAATTTAAAGATAATTTACTTGGTTAGGGACCCAAGGGCAATAACTCTTTCACGACTAAAGCTGAAACGAAAGGAGCCTCATATGTCTGCTTATAATAAAACTGCCATTAATCTTTGTAAGCATATGTTAGAAGACCTAAATGTTTGGATAACCCTAAAACAAGAGTATCCAACACAAGTTCTAGGGTTGAAATATGAAGATCTTGCCACTAACCCTTTCGAGGTATCCCGGAAATTATTTAAGTTTGTGGAATTAGATTTTGATGTCAATGTAGAGAGTTTCATCCGCAATATTACCCATTCTGATCGTGATGACAAATGCATTACATGTACCCATCGCAAGAACTCGTCATTGGCGTCTCAGAAATGGAGAAATGATATCCATGCGATCGGAGCGATGGCGGTGGACAAATTATGTGAGCAAGTTAATTCTATGTTAGGATACAAACCCATCACTGACCCAATACAACTGTTCGAGTTTAAGTTTAAATTGAGTTACAATAAAGAATTTTGATTCATCGATATCTTTTTTGTTTTCTATAGTCAAATTTGATTAAAATAGATAAAGTAGAGAATTTTATCCAGGGTCTTGTGATTTTTAAAAAACTTTTAATGTTCCCTGATTGGTCACAAATTCGATATTAAGTTTTATTATCAATTCAGAATACTGTTTTTCTGAAACTCTGTCGTTTTCTTGTTAAAGTTTTCTTGAATAATTAAGGCCCCAGATAGCAACATGAGCTAGGCTTTTATATCTGATAGCACATTATTTTTCTTTTTACTTCATTTTTGGAAGTCTTATTAAAATTTTACAAGGTGGTCAAGAAGTCGTTGTGCTTACAAACAGACCGGAGAACAGGTATATAACAGGTACAACAATGGCAATGTAGGTCTAACTCGATCAATGGTTTGGGCCATTCATATTCTTCTCATTCCAAATAGATTTATGGAATCCTCTAATTAGCCCAACACCACTTTCTCTTTTATAAGCTAAAATTGAACTTAAGCACTCAAATCGTTCGTTTGAGTCTTTTTCTGACAAATACTGCTACAAGGGTTTCGATCGTAAACCAAGGGAAATAACTCTATTTAACGATGATGCAAAGCCGGAAAGTTTTGAGAAATTTCTGAATTATTTCAAAATAGAAAATTGAAGATAAACATGCTGTCGGATCCACAAACAACGTCTAAAACGGGAATTCAAGAAGGCACTAGGGTGATCCTACAGAAATCTGAGGATTATAAATCTGTCATCGTGAAAAAAGACAAGTAAGCTAATTTTGTGTCTTTCTTCGGTTCTTACAGTTGGTGTCTGTGATTTGCCTATTGTCCAACTTGCTTGGTAAAAGGAATGAGTGAGAATGTGGAGTAGCAGACGGCACATGCCTGGTATTTATCATTAGATTAAATCAAAGGCCTCAATTTGTAATTTTACACTTGTAATTGTACACTTTGTGACTTTGTCAATGTAAAGCGGATTTTGATAAGTAATTTAAAGCAGACAAGGGTTATGGGCTAGCTGCGGGCCTCATTTAAAGGGCTTAGACTTTCTTAAATGGTTAGCAAAATGCGCTTCTTTGGCTGCAAAGATTGTGGTCAGACAATAGATAAAAGCCAAATAACTATGTATTGTGACTGAAATTGTGTTTTGTTATTCGTCTGATTCTGTTTTTAAGTGTGATACGAATGGGTAAAGTCAGGTTTAATTTAAATGGTATTATTGGAAAGGAATTCGGAACACAGCTACTGATAGAAGATGAGAAGTTAGTTCCAATTGATAAACCAACACAGGATGTTCAACCCATGGATGTCCAAGGTACAGTATCTTAAAGACGAAAATTATCAAGATAATGATAATGAAAAAGCCATACAGGCAAAGGGTCTTCAGGCATTTGGCCTTACAAGAGTTCTGCATTTGCTTTCAACTTACAATCTGAATGGTAATATGCTGATTAGATCCCTGAATGATAAGCCTACAAGTTTAGTAGTTAAGGTACCAGAAAGCATAAGGTTCATATGTTAAAATTGAAATTCATAGCACCTCTAACATAGACATAAAAACAAGTTTAGTGTAATAGCCTTAATATTAATGATATCAGTTTTAAAGTATAGTAACCAGTTTTCTTATGCCTAACAAATGTAGTTTATTTTTGCCTATAGTCTAAGTTCAAAGTTTTATGTAAAAGTTTCATTTCATTTCAGTGAAATATTCAAATTAGTTAACAGAAATATATCTTATATATTTTTCACAGCTTGTAGTTCTGATAGAAGTAATAAAGATCTAACAGAATCTGATGAAAATCAAAGAATCAAACAGGATGAAATATTAAAAATGAAGGAAGCTGGAATATCAGGAGAGGTATTTAGTTTAGTTTTTATGCAATATTTCTTATTATGATCTCTGTTCCATCATGAAATACAACTACTTGAATATTGTCACAGCAACTTTATTATTCTTACAGAATGAAAACAAATTGCAGGATAATATCTAACATTTGAGCCTCCCTGAATCATATCATTTTACATTTTATATTTCAGGAGATAGTTGATAAATTAATAGAAAATAGTCAGACATTTCAAAATAAAACAGAATTTTCACAAGAAAAATACATCAAGAAGAAAAAAGAAAAGTAAATTATCATTTGTGTCAGTACATCTTTCAGAACTGCTGATATTGCTCACTTAGCTTTGAGTGATATTCAATTGGAATTTTTGCAATTGTGCCGTCATAAATATCTTAGCGTTATTGGCATTCCAAAGTTTAAGTATTTTGTCATCTGGGGCCTGTTGTCTTTTGTATAGCATGGTTAGTGTATGAATATTGGTTTTCTTCTTCTTATAACGGGTGTCCCAAAATAAACGTCCCAAAGTTCGATGGGTATCTCAGCTGTTGGTAAACTGATTCTCACAGATATACATCAAGATGTCGTTATCCAACCCTGAAAGTATGAAAGTTATAGAATAAAAATTGTACAAGTACTGCCCCAAACAAAATAGTATGCCAAAGAGCAATATCAAGGCAACTTACCTATTTCAACCTGAGTTCAATTTGCCCTCCGTTTTCGTCGACCACCGTATTTGTTTTTCCCATCCCGAGTAAGAGAATGTTAACCTTGGTCAATATTTAAATAACATAGACAACTGAATATGTGTATATTATTTGTTTACTGTAGACATGTAGCTGTGATCAGAGTTTTAAAACCAACAACCAGATTAGTATTTGAAATGTTTTATAGAAATTCACCAGCTGATATTGGGTAAGTGAATACTGTTTGATATGTAAGTTACATTTAAACAAATATACTGGTTTATATCTGATTTCTTTTCAAATTTTACAGTTGACAATTGTTAGCCTAGTGATAAAGTCATAATACTAGGGTCTCTCTCAATACCTACAGAGATTGCCATTTACCTCACAGTAGCCAGGAAAGTTCAATAGAAATTTTTTTTACCTTAATGGCAAAAATAATTTCTTTGTTATTGGCAGTATTTCTTTGAGTAGTAGTGCCATTCAAGAAAAGAAAAATTCTGGTGTTTTGGATGCCCTTGACCCAGGTAAGTGTTCAACCTTATGACGAAAAAGGCATCATGGGATTGGAAGCACCATTATCTATTCAAAAAGAATTATAACATATTTTTTTATCTTTGTTTTGTAGGTATATGAGAGTTGATACATTTTCTCAGATTTTAGCGTTTGCTAATATAATTCGTGGTAGCCATATTGGTATTATAGATACATATAAAGGTTTACTGGTAGCTGCTGTTTTAGACCAATTAGGAGGTAAATTTTTCAATTTTTTTAAAATATATTCTTAGACATACTTGAATATATCTGACAATATTTCAATGATAATGTTGTTATTTTGCTTGTGCATAAAATGATTAACAAAAGTCGAGCAACAGAAAACACTTTACATGCAACAACATGATCAAAGATTTTTTTTTTGCCTTTTTGAGAATACTATTCTCATCTGACCCTGCATGGTCTTAGTATTGTGTAACAGAATTATAATTTGAATCTAATAAAGTAGGGTGACAGATTGATATAAGCTGTTGATTATTCCTGTAACCCTGTTTATTTTGTCTATAATTTCATATGAAAAGTTGTTTTATCCAAATTATTGTAATATTTAATTGAAATTGTGTAAGTAACAATGTTATTATGATGTTTAAAGGTACCGGAGCAGTTGTACAGATGATACCAGATAACATATTCTTAAAGTAAGTTTCTTTAACAGCAATTAGTATAATATAACTAACAACAGTAGGTTAGGTGTTATTTAGAAACTGGTCCTACATGACAAACTTTGATTGGTTAAGAATAGCGTCATTGTTACATTACAGTGGTGAACCAAAATATAAGAAAAAAAAAAGGAACAAAATTTGAATTAGATGATTAGATGATCCATTTGAATATATTACTCACGTCAACAAATTTATTTTCATTTCAGAGATTGTTTGAAATATTATGATTTATCTGAAGAGTCATTAGAGAGTCACTATCATTACGGCATAGAGCAACTGGGTACATTAGAGTCAGACTATAATAAAGATGACACAATGGACCAATCCAATATGGCCACCTCCACATCATCAATGAAGATGGATTACGAAACACCTTGTAACCTACCAACTGATGACAACCAATCAGCTAATGGAACTGACACACTGAAATCAGAATCAGTAGAATCTACAGAATCTCAACCTAGTAAAAGAAAACGAAAACGTGAAGAAAAAAAGATTAAGGTATTGACATTTGCTACATACTTTCTAATTAGAACACATAGAGAAAATTCTTGGGAATCACTGTCTAGAGGTTATCTGATGTTGCTGACACATGTTTTGGATAAACAATCCTCAGCAGAATAGCGTTATTGGAAATGAGTGCTCAATTTCTAAATTGGACTTAAGCGAATAAGCAAGTAAGCGAAGTCACTAAACAGGAGCAAGGAATTCACATGGAGAATATTCTTAAGTACAAAGACTCAAAACTAATCTAATGGACACATATACATGAGATAAATGAACAAACTGACAAACTCATTTCCTTTACATCTATCAAATTTGTTCCTCCAGAACTCTCGGTATCTCATTTTTCAACCCAGCTTCCTTTAGATCACATGCTTCTTTGGTATTTTTGGCAGATTCCTGTTTTGTTTCAATATTTTCAGACACCAGAAGAATTAGAAGCAGACAGACAAGTGAGGTTGAAAAATTCTGTCAAAAGAAAAAAAGCTCAGAAAATATTATTAGATAAAAATTTAGATGCGTAAGTAAATAATTTGCATGTTAATTGTTGTCATAACTTATATACAAAGTTTAAAAACTTAAGCGGAAAATGTAAAGAATTTTACCATTAAGGAAAATGGTTTGTGGTTGATTTTGAATGTAAATTAAGATTTTTGTCTGGCTTATTCAGCAAAGTGAAACCCACATGTCCTAATTGAGAAGACCCTTACTCTATGTGGCAGTGTTATAGCTCAGTTGGTAGCTATTTGGATTGACATTTGGATTAAATACATACAAGTTAAGGAAAATTCTGATGCCAATGCTTTCAAGATTCAGCCTCCTGTCATTTAGAGACAATGTCAGATCACCTACTGACCATTAGAGATTGTAGATAATTTCTATTTTGTTTATTTAGGTTAATTATATCCAGTAAATTTCACCCTACACCATTATTAATGAGAATGTTAGAATTTATTAATCCTTCACGTCCAGTTGTAGTTTATTCACAACATATAGAGGTTAGTATTCTTTGTATACATATATATCTTTACCTAGAAATATATTGTCGTCACCCCTGTGTTTAATAGTCATGCAAAAATCATTGCGCAGCCTGCTAGATAGTCCCAATTATGTGAATTGATATTGCTTTTGTGATTGTTACATGAACTGTTTGTGAGTTATTGCCCTTGACCTTTTCCCATATTGGTTGGATAAGAAATTGTTCACATTGTTAACGCTACCATGATATTTTTCTGCCATTTGGGTAGTACACGTATAATCTTGTGGTGACTGTTAGTACCAGAGTAGTGCTAATAAAGGATTTGAACTTGGCACTGAACGATATTGGTTCAAGTTGATATCACAATATTAAGCAATATGTACCACGATATGGAGATATATCACGATATTTATTAAGTATGGTTTTTACTATTTTTGATACAAAATGTTGTTGTTTCTACATCTAAAAATTTTAAATGGAAGAAAAACAATTAATCATAAAAACATCCTAGTCTTGAATATCATGTAAAAAATATCTGTTTTAAACAAATTACTATCTGTACAAATATTTGACTATATATCATAACTATCAATATCACACTAAACCAATATTTCGGTATTTTTTAATCATGCGATATTACTAACAATATATGTTCCTATACCGATATTTATTGTGATACCAGTATATAGCCCAGCCCTAACTTAGCAGTGAACTTACTGTATTATATAATATCTGTTTTTACAGCCTTTATTAGATTGTTATATGAAGTTAAAAGGTAGTGGTAAGGGAGTTAACTTACACATCACAGAAACATGGTACCGTGAATATCAGGTAATTATAAGTTCTTACAATCAAATTCAGCAAATTATTCATCGTATTACATTTATTAAGCATGAGCAGAGATTAATTACTACAGCTATTTTCAGTTCTAGAGATCCTTAGATTAATTGTTGCTCTTGGTGCAAGGGGTTGAAATCGGCAAGGGGGCAACTATCAGTCGCATCAGAATTTTTTACCTTAAGGAAGAATAAAGCATTCGAACCCACTGCGCTTAATCATTTAGCAGACAAAAATCCAACTAGCTACAAACTGTTCTTATACACTGCCATTCAGTGAAAAACCAATGTGGAACATCAAAATATTCCACTCTGGCCATAAAAGCACTGTTTATATTAATATTCAAGTAATTAATATTTATTATTTTAGGTATTGCCACAAAGAACCCATCCGGTAGTTCGAATGTCAGGAACTGGTGGATATTTATTAACTTTCACTACAATTACACCTTGATTACATTGTGTTTTATTTTAACTTTCTGGTGCTTTCAGAAATTGTTCCCATTTTAAACATCAAATTATTTAATAAATTGATGCTGTTGTTCATTCATGATCATTAAAAGTGGAAAATATTAATTTATGTTTTTTCTTGTCACCTCACGTGATTTCAGTTCAGTATTGTCCATTATTGTTGAGGTTGTCATAGTTTTACATGATTTTGTTGGTTTTTCCAAAGATGTTTCCCAACAGGGGGCGAAAACGCAAAAAAGGGACGGCTCCTTTCACAAAAGTTATATTTTTCAAATTTACTGTGAGTGCAAAAATTTACTGGCAATAACTTTTGGTCATATGATTTTTGTGAAATCAGAATTAACTAAAGCAGCATCTCTCCAACCCAAAAGTATTCAAAAACCACATCCTTCACTTGCAATAAATATAGATACATTGGTACACAGTTAAGCATTTTAAGTGATAAACTGCTCATATGTTAGTACAGATTTTTGTCCTTTGATAGCCACCCCATTATCATTGCTGCAAAGCAGATGTCCTTATACAGAGCTGCAGTATAAATCTTTCAATTCAAAACACAAGTAGTATCAGCAGTATCAAAAATATTTAATACACTTATAAGGCACTAGAATAATAATACCCTTTAATACAGGGTTTTAATACAAATAGATATAACATTGATAATATATACCCTGTTACAAACTGAACAATTAGACAAATGAGATCTTCTATAATAATTTTAAGGAATTTGATTTTATTTCTCTCCAATCTATTAAAAAACATTTATTTTCTAGTCAAGCAATTCTCCGACCTCTTTGAAATATACCATAAAGGAGCAAAATGAGCAATGAACCAATAAACAAACAAAATGATTTCCATGGTATTGATTTACATCCAATATTACCCTGATCACTTATCAATATCCACATTTTTATGCCAGAAATGCATGAAAATTACTCAGATTCTTAACAATGGTTAAAGGACAGAACATTTTTTGTGCATATCTAATAATAAAATGCAGTGTTTTGATAAGATAATTTGAAGTTCTGGGGTACATATGAATTTATCTCATCAACAAGAGAAAGTATAATAGATGTAATAGTTATATACAAGGACACATCAACAACAACAAAAATTGCACATCACGAAATATCTAGAAATAAGCACTGTGTGTTCAGACTAGAAAATGCAATACTCAGGACATGAGATGACTCATACAAAATTGTGCATATTTTAAAGAAATATAAATTCAGCCTGATAATTGATTGCTTCTCAATAGAAAAGTCACCCAAATTAAGACAATATAATAGGGGGACCAGTTTGACCTGGTGGAACCAACTAGATTTTCAATGTTTACCAGTAACTGATGCATCTTACACTTTCTAACAAACTAAACATTATACTAATGTTTGATGGTATCAATTGAGTATGTACACAAAGTTTTTAACCAAAAAGGATGAGTGTAATAAAGAAATATAAAAGAGGTAAAATACTAACAATCATAATCTACAACACCAAAAAAATCAGTAGATAAGTTTAAAAACTAAAACACTAAATGCTAGGACATATGATGTGGAACAAAGTTTTTCAAGATTATTAAAGGTTTGTTTGTTTCTAAATGCTGGAAATTTATAATATCTAGAAATGGTTTATGAACTATGCAGCTCTGAAAAAATCATGAAATATTTAAAACATCAAAGATAAGAAAGAAATAGGCAATATAGTATGAATATCAGCAATGAAAGCTCAAATAAGACATAAAAATACTTACAAAATAATGATTTAATATAAAGGAAAAAAAATCAATAAAAATATAACAGAAAATGGTCAAATTAAGAACAATAATTGGAAGCATGGATACATAAGCTTTATTGAAATATCACAGTTATAAAAACTTGCATGCAGCTTGAATGCTAGGTGATATTTTCACTTAAGATCCTGAATAATTCATGACCCATTCAAAATGTATAGATGACTTAGTCTAGAGTACAATTTTGGAGAGTTAACCCTCATTTCCAATATAGCTGTCCTCATTTATCCGAAAAAAGATCTGCAGCATGAAATGATCTCAACTCAATAAGATTCCTCAAAAATAATTATATTTCACAGTAAAATCAACCTACTGTAAATATTTACATGTATTCATCTTAAAATCAACCTTTTAATGTAAATATTTACATATCACCTTAAAATCAACCCTGCAATGTAAATATTTACATGTAATTACCTTACAAAAATATTTACATTAATTTCTTTCAAAAACCCTCCTTCAATTGTAAACATTTACATGTATGTACCATAAAATCAACTTTCCATTGTAAATATTTACATAATAATCTTAAAATCAACTTTCCATTGTAAATATTTACATGTATTAAACTTAAAATCAACCTTCCATTGTAAATATTTACATAATTATCTTAAAATGAACGTTCCAATGTAAAATCAACATGTATGTCCTAAAATTAACCATCCAAAGTAAGTATTTACATGAATGCACATTAAATTAACTTTCCATTGTAAATATTTACATACATTCAATTAAAAATCATTTACCATTTGTAAATATTTACAGAGGAAATGGAAGAGCTACAATTGGAAATACATGGATATCAGCATAGGTATTGGATTTCCCTATAAATCCATGTAAATAAATAAACTTATAAAGCTAAGATAACTAGAAAGTATTTGATATATATACATTTGAGTATTGTAGTCAATGTACTGGAACTTTTCACTTCACAGAAACTGCTATCAATTATATTTGAGACAATTTTTGGAAAAAAAGAAATTACATAACTTTGAAAAAGTCCCACAAACTTTGATGTGGACATGAAAATTGGAACTTATTCTCGAAAACTAGACTACGAATCCAGATTCTAAGAAAATACAGTGATCTCAATTTGATTATAAAAGTAAATTTAAAATCATGATCAGATGACTGAGTTTTCGAGTATAAGGGCCCTATCAAGCAGCTACAGTTTGAATATAAAATTTAATTTCAAATCAAAGTGATAACCATGTGGTTTACTAGAAACATAAATCTTCAGATAACGTATCTTAAACCCTTAGTTTCTAATACACTTTATATTGTAATTCTTAACAAAGATATATGAGAAGACAACTGATTAATGTATACCTGTGCATAAAACTGATAACTGATATCAGAGTTTTCTACCTACCAATAATACAGCAGGATGTAAATATGGTTGTCACAGAACACAGTGAAGATATCAGAGAGTTTTCTGTCGTGCTAATAATACAGCAGGATGTAAATATTGTTGTCACAGAACACAGTGAAGATATCTGAAAGTTTTCTGTCGTGCTAATAATACAGCAGGATGTAAATATTGTTGTCACAGAACATGGTGAAGATATCTGAGAGTTTTTTGTCATGCTAATAATACAGCAGGATGTAAATATTGTTGTCACAGAACAAGGTGAAGATATCAGAGAGTTTTCTGTCGTGCTAATAATACAGCAGGATGTAAATATTGTTGTCATAGAACAAGGTGAAGATATCAGAGAGTTTTCTGTCGTGCTAATAATACAGCAGGATGTAAATATTGTTGTCATAGAACAAGGTGAAGATATCAGAGAGTTTTCTGTCGTGCTAATAATACAGCGGGATGTAAATATTGTTGTAAATAAAATATACTAGATGGTTGTTTACTAATCATCTCTTCAAATGGATATTTTTCAGAATTGGCTTTCTTCGGCCCAAAGTCCATCTATAATAGATAAACAGAATCAGGATTTAAGTTTACTAGATTCTCTAAATTTTTTTTCACATACAAAGTAATGTGTTTTGGTAATAGATAAACATAAAACTTATCAGGATTTCAGTTTCTTACATTCTCCAAAATTCTACAGAACACAGTTATAAGAAGAATGTCATCAGATCATGGATGGCTAGTGTAGTAACCTGCAGAGTATCTAATACCTAAAAGGTATCTTATTAAATAGAGTAGGAGTTAAAAATATTGTACATTTCAGACTTTTACTTTGAATTACTACTCTAACACTTAAAATCAAGAATAAGGTAGTAGAAAAGTTGGAATATGATCCTACCTGCATGAGATAAGTTACAATGGAATAAATTCTCTTTTCTTTTCGTGCTGGTTCTATTATCCAACCACTTGATAATAACTAAAATTACAATATAGAATAGCATGTTACATGGAAATTCAGTTAATTTGATTAAAGTATAGAGACAATGCCATGCAGTCTGCATGTAGAGAATCTTGTACATAAAACATCCTGTGACACTCATTTCAACAGAATTTGACTTTATGACACAAAAGAATACATACAGTCAGCAAAGAGACCATCTTTAACATTTGACACTAATTTCCTAACTCAATTTAGCTAGGTTTAACCTACATAAGGTTTATTACAGTTATCTGTAGGTTTATCTCACCTTAGGTTTAGTGCAGTTATCTGTAGGTTTATCTTATTCCATAGGTTTAACCTACCTAAAGTTTAGGTTCAGTACAGTTATCGGATAATCTACCTTAGGTTTAGTACATTTATTTGATAACCTACCTTAGGTTTAGTACAGTTATCAGTAGGTTTATCTAATTTATAATCGACAGACTGGTAAGATAAAATATATTTTTCTCCTTCTATTCTTTCACTTTGTAATAAAACTATTTCACAACAATCTTTTCGCAACAACTGTTGTAATTCATGGTATTGATACACTGTAAGAAATATAAACATAGATTTATAATACTTTCAACACTATTAATCTGAAAAGTTTTGGTTGGAAGTGAAAGTGGGATAGATGAATTTTACTTTAGGAAATAAGTATGATAATAGACCAATTGATCTAATTTAAATACTAACCTATTTTCATTCTGTCTGAAACTGTTTCTAAAATATCTACTTTCTGAAAAACAAAGAGAAGTTGTATAATCAAATGGGCTGATATTGATTTTTAAGGCTGTGTATGTATTTAATCTAAAATTGTATGTCTAGAGAAAAATTTATTCAATTCACCCAATAAACTTGTACACATGGGTCTTAACAAATGTTCATTTTTTAATTTTTACTACGGTAATTCCCACAATTTTACAGGCCTCTCATGGTAAAAAAAATAAAAGACAGTGCAGCAATTCTGTGTTAAAACATATGTTAAAAAACTTACCTTTAAAGTTTCATCGTATGTAAATCTAGTTCTTGGATTTTTTAGGTTTTCCCAAACTGTTTTAGGTGGAGCTTGAACTAGTCCTTTACCTAAATAACTGGAAAAATAAACATAGTCAATATACTTGAGGTTTCTAGTTTTTGAAACAGACCTTATCAGGATAGAGCCAAAATAACATTAATTTTAACTTTGATTTCTATCAATTTGATCTAAAAATCTTTCTTGATATAAAGCTATGTAAATTTATCAAAAAATTGCAAGAAAATACTGTTAGTCCAAGCAATTCATCAAATTACAAAAAAAAGTAAATCTAACATTTGGTATTATAAAGTGTACAAAAATAGATTACCACTGAGCAGTAGAATTGTCTTTAAAAACCTTTCTTAATATAACAACATCATTTTCTATACCAGTAAAACTACAAATATAAACATAAGTTACATTGGCCACTGGGTTACCCATAAGACTTTCATGGCCACTGGGTTAAACATAAGACTTTCATTGTCACTGGGTTACCCATAAGACTTTCATGGCCACTGGGTTACACATAAGACTTTCATGGCCACTGGGATACTTATAAGACTTTCATGGTCACTAGGTTACTCATAAGACTTTCATGGTCACTGGGTTACTCATAAGACTTTCATGGTCACTAGGTTACTCATAAGACTTTCATGGTCACTGGGTTACTCATAAGACTTTCATGGTCACTGGGTTACCCATAAGACTTTCATGGCCACTGGGTTACACATAAGACTTTCATGCAACTGTTTGAGCCAATGAAGACAAGGAATGTGCACTGGCATAAGCTTATTCATTTAAAATTTTTGACAGGGTATTTTTTCATGTCCCCCCTTCAAGCTACTTTACTGACTGGTGTGACTTGGTAAACAAAATTCCAAAGACACGAACTTGACTTACAACTTCAAGGTTGCTGAATCCTAACCTGAGGTACTACTGGGTATTCAAAGACTATGAAAGGTTATAAATCAGGGCTCAAGGTTAGAAAAAACATCAAAACTTACAGCCAACCATTAGATGATTCAGCCTGTTCTTCAGCAGATTTATCAAGTTCTATATTGGAAGCTTTTAAAGCCTCAGCTAATAATTCTCCTGCAGCATGGTTAGCTAATGTTTTATACTTAGCTTCATTTGGATCTATAATAAACAAACCAATTCTTTAAAAAAAACCTTGACTAGATGCAACAGAATTTAACACAAACAATACAATATTTTGCTGATACATGTATATAAAACTTTTGCGAAAAACTTTTCATTTCAGACTAGTCTACCAAAGTTGAGTTGTAACTAATTCAAGACCATTATAAAAACTGATTAGCTTTAGCGTAGTTCTTGTGTGAGTTATTAGTGTAAATGAAATATAACATCATATACCCTGAACTCATTCAATAATAATGAAATGTGTATAATGTTACCACTAAGTGACATAAAGTAATTAGAAATGGCCACTGGGGCATACATCATGTCACTTTGTGGCTAATACAGCAGTCTTGAAGGTAGAAAGGTTTAAGGATTATGACTCCTGCATGTCAATACTAGAACCCAACTTGACTGCAAGGTCAATTCATACACTAGAAAGTTAGTTTGTATAACAGAATTTAGTTTTTTACCTGAAGGTGTTCTGACTAACGGATAAGAAGATGATCTTTTCAATGATTGGTCTTTTTTCTGATGAGTAGGTGTGGTGAAATTTTCATCAAAGGAGTCTGGTTGATCTGTATTACTATCAAGCGAGTCTTGATCACCCAGTTCATTAGTTCCCTCAACACTCTTTGATCTGTGTATTATTTTTTGTTCTTTAGTTTGATCGCTACCTCCCTCATCTTGACGTGAAGTTTGAGTGCGATATTTCAATATCGAATTATAACGTTTTAATTCAGATTTTTGCATGTCATATGGTCTGCTGGAACTTCCTTGAGATATAAATGAACGAACACGGGTCAAAAACTTGGTTGGATTCCGTTTTCCTCCATCAACTTGTTCCAATGTTCCATTTAGTTCTGTAGCAGTAATAACTTGTGAATGACTAGGTAATGTCATGGAAGACAAAGGTGTCGCCACTAATTTACGATACACTAAGAAATCTTCTAACGCCAAGAGATTTTTAGCAGGATAACTGCGAGATCTCTCGTGATCATGTCCACCACAATGGCTGACAACGGTCAACATACACTGATCTGTTTCTGTAATAGATAAATTACCATTCAAAACAGTTGTTTCTCACTGCAAGATGTCTGCTACCAAGAATTCATAAACTCAAAATTTCATGAAATTTTATGGAAGTATTCACCAGTAACCAAATGGTTGTTTGAAATTATATCTCATATCTACATATCTATTCAACTAAATTCATCTTGAAAGCCTCAGTTTATGTCATCAATGTCACCAATGATTATCCATATTTAAGGCATTCATTTTACTTTCACCAGGGGTAAACATGATTGCCAAATGCAGCCATATCTACAAGAGTCAAGGTTCTAAGATATATAATTCCAAAAAGAGTGAAGTTACCCACAGAAAAAAAAAACAAATATGCGGAGCTGTGTTCTAAAACGAATTTAGGAAAAAAGAACCCTCGTTTTTGGCCAAAGAAAGAATAAGGAATAGAGACATAGAAATAAGTAGAAAAAAGTACCGTCAACATTACCCCATAACCTTTCATGCCGTTTGGAATCTAATTATAGACAGAAAGGGAGATAATAAAACGATACCGACCAAACCAACCTTCCACAGGCTGAGCAAGAAAAAATGTCCATTTGCCAGCAGCTTCATTGATTTGAAATAACCAGCAGCAACCATTTTCTTCTTTATTTGAATATCTGAAAACAAGAAGTTGTGTCATGAATCACATGTTCCACATTCTTACAGAAATTATACTTAATGATTTGAACGAATAAGGGAAAGGCATACCCCTGCATTGTGGTACAATGTGTGACTCAGGGACAACATAGAATATCTGGCGTTGTCTTTATGGACTTTATGGTTAAGCTTTGTATAAATACTATACTTTATATCAAGTTGAGCTTTTATCAATGCGAAAAATTCTAAAAAAAACATCAAATCCATGATGGGTTGAATTAAGCCCACATAAAGTGATTTTTGGTCCTATCCAGAAATCACACCTATATATCACTGTCTGAGGGACTGAGTAGATCCAGAATCAGATTGTTTTTACCTAATATATTCCTCAGTTACTGTCTGAGTTACTAAAGACTGCCAGGAAGTCTGTTGGAACCATGCTGGTCTGCGGAATACCCTCTCCTCCTTGATTATATCTCTATGTACATGTGGTAAGGACCTAGATTTACTGGGGGAATCAGGTGATACTTTGTGGGTTAAAACATAAGATGTGGCTATAACACCTGGCTTCCATTCACACGTCAGGGATATATCACGTAATAACTGTAAGACATACTGAAATTCAAAATAAAAGGTATGAATCCTTTATTTCTACCTAACCTTATGACCTAAAGACAGAAGACAACCTAAAACCAAGCAGTACACAGAACACAAGGATTTGTTCTTAGGCCTTCTTCCTGTTATTCAAGTTTTAAATCCTATATTTCTCCTATTATTGACTTTATTAAGGTACATGCGTGATTGTCAACCACGAAGAACAATAGACTTGAAACCATTGAGATGAACAGGCCTTGTTCAATAGCATTTTCTTCAGCCCCTTTCTTTAGTCTTCAATTTCAATAAAAGAAGATCTAAATGGTTTCTTGTGTGCCTTGTATGACCATGAGCCTAATTTGTATTTACCTACAGAAAATAATACCAACATTTAGATCTGTATCTTAATTTGAAATATTGTTTCAAGATAAGAAATTTTATATACCTGTGAGGAAGCTCTAACTTTACTATAAGCAGCATGAACTTTGAGATTGATCAAGGAATCATTGTTTGGTTTGGTGAGAAAATGGAACCACACACGATGACCATGAGCAAAACTATCTATTTTCCAGCCTTTCTGACATCCCACTGGAAATGGCTGGAAATAATAAAAAAAACTATCTAGGCTAATTCTGACAAAAAATACAAAGTAGTTGAAAATGAGATCTACCAACAGTTAAAGCAGACAAACAACTTTATTCCTTTTAAAGGGACCAAGTTGACTATAATCCATATTCAATTTCAATTATAAGGTTTTTTCACTTGAAATGTTAACTGATAATGTACAATTGTGTGTTTATTGCGCAATCCCACAGAGGAAAGATTGCAGAGTGTTCTAGTTGTTGTTTAGAAATATAAAGGTTTGTAAATATATATATCATTGACTATGCCTGGTTTCTTACCTTGGAATATTTGAGTAAATGAAGAACTTCATTTGACGTTAATCTATCTTCATTCTGTAATAAAAATTTTCTTTCTTAAAATCATAAACAGATGATAGACATAAAATCTGTTGAAACACTTTTTTGATTAGTCTAGTCCGGTGGTTCCCAACATTTTACAACCTTCACACCCCTGGAGCAATCACCTGGACCTTTTACACCCCCAAAAGTTTGTATCATCCACATTTTCAGCCCGGTTACACCCCTCTGGAGCAATCATCTGGACCTTTCACAACCCCAAAAGTTTGTATCATCCACATTTCCAGCATGTGATGATGTGAGGTGCTCTCTCAATTCAAAATAGATTCTTCTCCTGTACTAGTTGGTCACACCCCTGACACCCTAGTCTCCCACATCTAGGGGGTGAAAACACCACAGGTTGGGAACCAGGGGCCTAGACAAACCAGTTGTGAAAGATTTTTACTGAGTGCAGCTGAAAGATATGAAATATGTCAGTATTTTATTTCTGTTTGAGAATGATATTAAATATCCTATCCTTATTTACAAATAGCATTTATAACATTATTCATTCATATCTAATAGCTTTTAATTCATAATCTGTGATAAAGCTGTTACATTATACAAATTGTATGTTTGATAATTTTCAAAAATACTGGCACGGTTAATTATTTGAATTTCTAAAGATATTTCTAAAGATATTTCTTCCTATTTAAATGAAATTTACGGAAGGATGGCAAGCAAAATATGGCACAAGGAAAATTGATACCGGTACTTCTATGCAATTGAGTTTTGCCAACTTTTTATCCTCTGAAAGATTAAGGTCTCTAATTGTCTTATTCCTTTGTATACAATCAAATGATTGTATTTACAAGTATCTGTGAAAAAAGAAAGAAAGCTATTGAGGTTAAGTTGTAAGACGAAGTTCGTGAAAGCTTGACATTGAGAAGAAGCCCTCTGCAAACCACAATTAAACTTTTGAGTAACAACAATCCTTTATTTTAGTTCTGTCTCAACATTTTTGACCCTAGCAAAATAATTCTGATGCACGGACAAATTATCAAGTTTTATTTATTCAAAAATTATACAAAAACATTTGTAAATTGCAACATTGCAAAAGTATGTAAAAGAACCATTTGTTCAACTGCAATTTATTAAAAAGAAATATCTCAAATACGACAGATGTATATAATTGAAAGTATTTATAAATTATAAATGTGATATATCAAACAGTAACAACAGCTGTTGTTTCAACTCATTAGAAATATCATATCAGGAACTCTCATTTTAAACGTTTGCATATGTACTGTACATAATCAATAGTTTTATCAGAGCTACTATAATGCTCAGTTTAAAAAAGATTATCCAAAAGATATTCAAAGGAAACTTTTGTACATTATTCTTTGATAGAAATCTCACTCAATAGCTAATCCACTCTATTCCTGGTTTTCATTCATGTGAATTTCAGAATCAAGTTCAAATACATGACTGGTGAAAGCTCCAATGTTATCATATTTCAATGTGATGAGTTAGTTTTGTTTAATGGATAATTGATCAAAGATGCAACTGTTAACATTTCAATCATATTCATTCCTAAAGGCCTACTGTTTTCATTGAATTGTAGGAGAACTGGATGCCAAGTTGAAGTGAAATACCGAAAGCAAATATTCACTCCTATTCAGATGGCTGTATCCCTTCCTTCAAAGGGACAAAGCTCTTTGCCAAGATACAAAGTGACTTTTGCTACAATATTCTGCTCCATCACGGCATCAGATCACTGAAAAACATTTTTTTTTTCAAAAAATAAAAAACAGTTTACCTTGCTGAAAACATAAGCACGACCACTTATCCATCTCAATAGTGATAAATACTTCAAACTGAACACGAAAAGGCTACACAAAATAGCCACAATGGTGGAAAGAAACAATAGTTCCATAATTTAGCCTGAATTTAATGAAAAAGCAGTAAAATTCGTTTCTGAGTCATGGTTTTCAGTTGTGGAGTTTAAAGACGCAACAGGTTTTCATAAACATTTTGATCATGTGATCATAGTCTCGTTTGTCATAAACGCAGTTTTCATAATGCTAAATTGTGGGATTCCCCTTTTTGTTAGGGGAAATCCCAAGAGTAGCATCCCTTCGTAAAATGGCGGCTTCCTAAGACATGAACATGTAGTTGTTTTCATTTAGAATTTTCATGTATAATGCTGCTCAACGATTTCTTATCATTTGTAAGAGTATTTTCCATCTGATTCTCTTACTTTCGACTTTCTGCTTGATCTATATTTTGGCATTCGAGATCATACATAGATATCATTTTTCTTGATGAAATTTTTGTCTTGACTTTTATCTTATTATTAATTGAAAATGAAGTTATTTAAACTTGATTGATTAAAGAGTCGCTTTTTCTTTTTCAAATTGATGTGTGAAATCTCCAAATCACTCATGCTTCTTGGTAGGTTACTTGGATTTGGTACTCAGGGCAGTGCTCAGTGAGTTGTGTGTCAATTTAGATGTGGATATTGTTAGTACAGACCATTTTTTGCAGAGCAGCTTCAGTCTTCAATGCACTAAAACAGAAACAAAATCATGGCCATGGCTATGATCACTTGTCAGTGACTATGTTTATCAATGATGGACCAGTAACATAATGTAAAATCCATGACTACAGAAAAATGTTTATTATCTTGTTTTGTAGAATCAGTAAAACATTTAAGATAAAAGATGACGTCGATTATCAAACTACATGTATTTTCGGGAGCCAATGATGAATCTCCACCATGTTATTTATTACAAGTGGATGAATTTAGATTTCTGTTGGATTGCGGATGGAATGAAAATTTTGATATGTCCATGTTGAAAGAATTAAAAAGGTAACAGAAAGTTGAAACTTATTCAAGGAAGGGAGTTTTGTAATAAACATGTGTGATTAAACCAGGGTTTGAATTTATGTTGTCACTATTTAGAAGCTTGAATGTTGCAACTTTTTCAAAGCATTTAAAACCTTGATTGATACTTTTTACAAGGGTTTCATTTTCACTTCTCTAACTTATAATTTACTTACTGTGCTCGTACTGTAGTTAATTGGAAAAGTAACTTCTATTTTCAAACCAGCTCTCCTTGAGGATTTTATTTCAAAAACGTGTCAGCAAAATAAAAGAAACAAACAACCATGTTTTGCATGGATAACAACTTAGGTTAGCAAGGATCTTTTATTCCAGCTGGTCCTTTGCCAAACTTCCTGGCATTATTGTTTATATGATTATTTTTAATAAATAATTAAATCTTGGTATATTTTTTCAGACATATTCATCAGATTGATGCTGTCTTACTATCATATCCTGATAATATTCACCTGGGTGCTCTACCGTATCTGATAGGAAAGTGTGGACTGTCATGTCCTATATATTCTACTATACCAGTCTATAAGATGGGACAAATGTTTATGTATGATCTCTTTCAGGTAGGCATCAAACATGCTTATATTCTATGAAATTTTGGTTAAGAAATTTTCTCAATTGTGAATAAAGCCCATATAACTCTGTGGCCATGATTTTGTCAGAATTGCAAATTAAGTACTTGATGACATTGCCATCAAATAACTCATGTTACAAGGTTCATTAAAAGTGTCTCTGATTGTTCAGTTTTACTTCCTACTGTTCTGCTCCAGATTGTATTAATAAAAATGATTATTTCTGTTTCAGATTGTATTAATAAAAATGATTATTTCTGTTTCAGATTGTATTAATAAAAATGATTATTTCTGTTTCAGATTGTATTAATAAAAATGATTATTTCTGTTTCAGAGTCGACACAATACGTCTGATTTTGATATATTTACGTTAGATGATGTTGATATGGCATTTGATAAAATAACACAATTAAAATATTCTCAGACTGTCACATTGAAAGGTTTGGTTCAAATTTGGTTTTCCTTTTTCATGGTTTATTGTACATTATTCCATTAACTTTTACTTAGCCTGTTATGTTGACATTTTACCATTCGATGGAGCTCTGTTTGATTATTAAGCGGTGTCTCATTATATTGTAAGCTTATACAAGTATAAAACTTTAGATTAACTGCGTATACTTTTTCAACAACAAAATTCAACTTGGCAAGTTATTTATATTTTTTCTTTATTTCAATCTTTGACAATCATTGATATGATTTGTAACCTTGTACTTGTAGTTTATAAATATCAAGATCAGAGTTTTGTCACTTTTGGTTTCTCGAGAACACACATCTTGTTATTTGACTTTTAGTACTATGTATTCAACTTGAATAATTAAATTCTGATTTTCTCCTAGAATAACATTTCCAATTCTGATAACGATTTAATATTTAGGTAAAGGACATGGGTTACAGATTACACCACTACCTGCTGGTCACATGATAGGAGGTACGATATGGAAGATAGTAAAAGATGGAGAAGAAGAAATAGTTTATGCTATTGATTATAATCATAAAAAAGAAAGGTAAGAGTTATCTACCTCTAGTTACAATAGAAGATCTAAGCTGTGCTTACCTGTTTGATAGTTTAAATGCAATAGAATTCATGTATTTAGCTTAGCATGGGTAAGGAATCAGGATAAATGGCCTGGAAATAAGGGCCAATAATTTGAATAATCAATTTAAAAGAATTTTTTGCATGAATTTCACTTGTTATATTTTGTTAGTTTCTTGTTGCACATGTATTTTGGTTAATGAGTCTCTCTGACAATAACTTAATTAACTAAGATTGAATGATGAAACTGAATTTAAATTCAATTTTCTTCAAATGAACGCAAGACTAAATCATTATATGCTTAGATTTAAAGAATAAAGCTTCTAGTCCTAGCATCAACTGCAAAATTGAACCGTAAGATTTTTGACAAGCTCTGTCTCTGCATATATTTTAACATTTTGATATAGTCTAAAGCTGCTCGAGACCATGGTTTCAAAAAATTTAATTTCTGTTTTTTAGACATTTAAATGGTTGTTCATTAGAGATGTTTAATAGACCATCGTTAATGATAACAGACAGTTATAACGCTAGTTATACACAGTCTAGACGTCGTCTACGTGATGAACAACTCATGAGTAAGATTTTTATATTTTATCATTCTAAGCATGAATCTTTCTAGTAATAGATATTAGGCCCCTTGATGATTATTGGCATAGTCTGAAAAACCTAAAAATGGCAGTCAATATTCAAAAATCATCTTTATACATAGAGATAGCTTGATTCTTGTTGACTCTCAAAAACCAGTGTCGACGAACCACAGCACCCAATATCCCTGCATATATACTTTTAATTCAAAGAGAGTCATTCTCCAGCAGTAGATCATTGATTTTAAACACATTGCATTAAAAGGTTATTGTTTTTTCTGTGTACATCAGTGTACCCTGGATATAAATTGGTTTCCCTGCTTGAGAACGACACTGTCACCCTATAAGAACAACAATTAAAATGATTTGTGTATTAACTCATTCATTATGTACTAGGAATATTTATCTTGAATCTGATTTTTTCCAGCCACAATATTACAAACAATGCGAAATGATGGTAACGTTTTAGTTGCTATGGATACAGCAGGTCGAATGCTGGAATTGGCGCAGTTATTAGTAAGTTGTAGTTACTTCCCTTGAATCAAGAATTCTCAATGAAAAGTGTAAATTCTTTGATATGAGTTGAGTTGAGCTGAGTTTTCAGAAGACACCTTCAGATAAATAAGTTTCAAGACTCTATACTGACACCTTTGAATAAACAAGAACAGTAAAAGATCGACTCACCTTTGTTTTGTCAAGCAAAAATATTTGTGGTTATTAGGGTACGATTTAAACATTTGGGTAGTTAAAAATGGTAATAACCACAATGCAAGACTTCCTGTGTGACAGATTGCTTAAATTAGAATAACATTTTGCCTACTGATATTTTCTATGTTATGCCTTGTATGAACCTGTATCTGAATACAGATGTATTGGGCACCATTTAGTTATTGTAATGTCTGAATTATGTTAATTTAGCACATTTGTGGCCCCTAAAATTTACAGGGGTTCAGTAGCACCTAACTTGGCGTGTTTAATCTGAATCACTGTGCATAGATATATTTTGTTATGTTGTATATTATTTTAGGATCAGATGTGGAGAAGTACAGAATCTGGTCTATCAACCTATTCTCTAGCTTTATTAAATAATGTTAGTTTTAATGTTATAGAATTTGCCAAGTCACAGGTGTGTCTTTCTTATTATAAATTATCAGACAAAAGATGAAATAGAAACCTTGAAATGACTTCCAATATAAAAGTGAATCACAGGTCTAGTTTATTCTTGGATAAAAAATGCCAAATTTCATGCTCAGCATTGTCAAGAATGTTTTGGCGTCAAAGTTTTTATTCTGCATGTAGCATGTGTTCTGATTGCTATTGGAACTATGATTAAAATACATATTATGACCTCCAAACATTTCGTCTTCAGGTCTTACAACTTGCTATGTGTATAAAACTTTTTGTTGAGGAGTTAAATTCCAAAACAAAATGGCTGTCTCGTTATGTTCATCAATGTGCAAATTTTCATCAGTATTTTGAATCAAGATCGTAATTTTCTTTCTAATTTTTTAATTTTTAGGTGGAATGGATGAGTGATAAAATTATGAGAGCATTTGAAGACAACCGAAATAATCCTTATCAATTTAAACATTTAAAATTATGTCATAATTTAGCAGAACTTTCTCGCATTCCAGAACCAAAGGTAGGTGCCTTTTACTTTATCCATAAACCTCCATAACACTCTGCATTCACCAGCAACAAACAACACCATCACATTTTAGAAATAAGCTCTTCCAATCATACATATTAAACAGTTTCATTTTGATAAAAAGTATGCATGTGTGGAAGAATTCAATATAAACTAGAGGGATGTCAAATAGTTTTTCACACTGTTTCCATTCTTGGCATTTACATTGTACTTGTACACAGGGGCAATATTATCTTAGCATCAAAGCTTAACACAAGCAAATTATATCTTTTGAGATAAGATCAAGTGGTTAGGCATTTAAAAAAACATAAATTTCTATACAGAAACATAATAACATTCCATCACCTTTAAAAAAAAATTTGACTTGTTCAGTTCTTTACAAGATATGCTTTGGATATGTCTCAATTAGGGACCTTATAAACTATATTTATATATAAAACTGTTTAACATGAAGTACTTGTACCTTAACATGTTTATAAGAAAATAAGACTTTTTTATCACATAACTTCAATGAACAACACTCAACATTTATTGAAAACAGCATTTGAAGACAAGTGTATAGATTTTGAGTACAAGCAAAATATATTGATCATGGTTATTGTGTGCAGTTAGTCTTGAACCACTTGTCTTGTCTAACATCCTTTTAACCGTGTAATATGGTTCAAAAGTTGTGTAGTACTTACATAAACTGAAATAAGTACAACTCATCAATACATTGTTGTTGATTATAGACTAATTACCAACTAATTAGTTCAATAGGTTTCTATGTTCTTCTGTCAAGTTTATGTGTAAAGAATGTTTTATTTCTGTGTATGTTCAGTTTTTCAAGTGAATTGTATTGCCTTCCCCAGCCTCAACAAAATTCTTGCTCTCTTAAAACAGTGAAGAAAATGATGATTATTGAAATGGCAATTTCAGATATTCTTCAGGTTCTCCATTTAATGTCTGCAGAATCTAGTTTTGTGGAATTAGTGTATCCAGTACATTTAAATATTTTATTGACACGATTTAAATTTCCTGTACAACATCTGTAGTTCCTGTAAGTGTTCTTAGTAGACATGCAATGGCCATAAAATTCTATAAATAGTCGATTCACGCTATTTGGGACAAGGATCAATATTTTTTGAAAACATCATTTTTTTTTTTTTAATAGTGTTTAATAAAACTCTCAATTTACAAATGAGAAAAAACTTTAAAAAAAAAATTGATAAAGATTTTATAAAATCAACAAAATGGTTTATATACAAAGACATGATCATTAATTTGTTTATTTCTCCTTTTTTAAGATATGGTCTACAAGGAATTAGAATAGTTGAATATTCTTGCCTTTTTGAGGAGATGTCAAACACTTTCTGTATTTATCATGACAAGATTGATATTTTTGTCACGCTATTGCAAATTTGTAAAAAAATGAAGTGAAAGTACATGAAGTGCTCTAATTGAGTTTCTATTTTAGTCTGTCAAATTGTTATAAGGAGGTTTTCAAGAAAATTGCTATGAGTTCCAAAAAAACTCTTAGTGCAAAATTTTTAAAAATTCTACTTTTTAAAGAAGAATATAATGGATGAAATATTGTAAATTTGGTGACAAGTGTAATTGAAGATTAGAAAATGGAATTATAAAAATTTAGATAATTATTTAACCAGGCAGAAAAGAAAATTTCAGAATACACTCTCTGGTGTCACTTTTAACGATTGTAAACCAGTTTTGGCAATACAGAAAACTTCTTAAATTTGTTATTCCTCGTCATCAGAACAAAGTCTTCGTTTTATTGGTGTTCCTAATTCCATGGTATTGTTAAAGCCTGTGGTACGTGAAAACTCATGTCCATTATGATTCACCTTTTTCCAGCCACTGAACAAAAGTTTCCCAAACTCCTTTCGAAAACTGTCATTTAACCATCCATATAGAAATGGATTAATACAGGCAGAACTCATGGCAAATATCTTTATCAGTAGATCAGTTAATCTAAAATATTTAATTGGAATGCCATTTGGCACAAACTCGGTAAAAAGGCTGAAAATATTCCATGGCAACCAACACAAGGTGAAGGTCAGAACAACAGAAATGAGAATTTTATTTGTTCGTCGGTTCCGTCTTGTTTCATGTTTTTTGATTGGTCTATTTTTCAACACTATGCAAATTAGACTGTAGAATATTGTCGTTAAAATTAAGGGTATCACAAATTGAAGAATGAAAACAGTAACAGCATAAATTCTTTTGGAACGAATATGCCATTTTTCAACGCAATAAACTTTAAAAAGCTGAATCGCAGGTTCGTTGATGACGTCCAATTCCGTAAACACCATTAATGGAATAGCCAAAACAATGGTCACCACTGTGATGATAACAACCAATACCATTGCTTGAAAGTTTGTCATACGAGGTTTAAAGGGATATACTATTAATATAAAACGATCCACGGCTATAGCCAGGATAGAAAGACTCGAAACAAATACAGGCACTCCAAACGTAGGGTTGATCACATGACACAGTACTCGACCAAAAGACCAATAGTCTTTGATTTGATAATGTAATTGAAACGGTAGATTAAAAAGACACAGGGCTATATCTGCCAATGCTAGATTAACTATAAAGATATTAGTGACTGTATGTAATTGTTTATATCGCCCAATGACTATTACTACTAATAAATTACCAATAAAACCAAATACTATCACTATCACATAAAGTATTATAATACCAATCTGCCAACGTTTATCTCGTAAAATATCAAATTCTGTTTCGTCAAAATCTTGTGAAAAATTGACGTACACTTTCATATTTTTCTGCAAGTCGTCAAGTGACATGTTTTCAAAGTTTAACGACAGAAGTAAATCCTCTTCCATTTTGACGTTGATTTAAATTTCCCAACTAAAAAAAGCACATTTTTGGTTTTTGTTTCTTGATATTTTTTTTTGATATTGATAACAAATTTGTTTCTCTTTAGGGAATTTTCGGACTGAAATCACACATTTTAACGTTGATTACACATTTGTTTCTTGATTGAGATTTCTGAGTATAGTAACATATAGTCATGTTATTAAGATATTCATCTGCATACAATGTTCTGTCTACTTATCATAATTCATCATATATATTTATCATTTGCAATATCAGTTGTTCTGGTCCAGTTATTATCCATCAGTTCTGAAGATTTTTATTACAACTTTTTTAACTTTTATCTCTGATAGATAACTTTATAGAAGTTATCAAATTGTTTGAAAATTTCAAATTTTATGATATTTTCATGAATTTACCAAAGCTGATCGATTTAAACTCTTTAATAAAATGTACTTTCTAGTCTTTGACGTAGATCATGAAATTCACAAAGCCTATGAAAACCACTTTTAACTGGTATTCAAAACATGTAACTTGTTATACTTCACGTAAACAATTTTAGATACTGTACATTTCTCCCAACTAATGATTCTGTTGGTTACTCTTATAGGTGCACAAATGTTACTCCAATTGTCTGAATTTTTGTTGTTGTGTATGTACATTCAACCAATGAAGAAAACAAGAATTTTCTGTAAAAACTGTCCATGTCTTTCTACTGAAGAAAATCTGATTCCAATGTCAATTTGACCACTTGATAGATACATTAAAAAATCACATTCATCTCCGATATCACTTATTGATACAAATCAATAAAAAAGTTATGATTAACATCAATGTCAGCTTGTGAAATATTTACTGATCATGTGATTCTGGAACATAAGTTATTCAATATTTTAATTTAGTGTCAGAAACTGGAAATCAATTTAGTAAGGTCCAAAAGTAAGGTATTCCAATATTGTGGAAAGGTCAGGTGGTATTCTAACGATGTTGACAGGTGCTAACTTGTAATCAACAAGCGATAATTACACAATGATTATATGAGTTATTCCAATATCACTAGGTGAAAGGTGCACAAAATATTCCAAAGTCAGCAAAAATTGAGTTGTTGTACTCCAAAGTGAAAAAAAGTTAGTTGTTATCCTTAAAAGTCAGAAAAAAGTTAGTTGTTGTACTCCAAAGTTGTTAGTTGTTGTACTCCAAAGTCATCAAAAGTTATTCAGCAAATTTGTCAGCAAAAGCAAATGTCACATTAAATTTCACTTTGCACACCGATCTGAGCTGATAAAAGTTGCATCTATTATTCCATAGCCAGCTGGTAAGAGTTTCACATTTTATTTCATAGAAAGCTGGTAAAACCTTCACAATTTGAAAAGTTTTAAATGTTTTCCCAAAGCCAGCTAGTAAAAATTTCACTTATTATACCAAAGCAAAGTTTCATTTTTTAGCCAGCTGATAAAAGTTATTCCATAGTTTTTTCATATGAAAGTTTCACATGTTATTCCATAGTTACTCCTTAGGAACCTGATAAAAGTTTCACATGTTGCTCCAATCTCAGTAGTTGATGTAATGAATTGTGTGTGAATGACAAGTTTCACTAAAGACACAGTCTCTCTCACTTTCTCTACTCCTACACTTGACTACTCCTTACTGACTAATGTAGGCCTCGTCACTTCCTCTACTGGTACTCAGCCTGAAAAATCAATAAAAGAAACAATTTATTAGAGTTTATGGAAGAGGAACATACTTTTAAAAGAGATATGAAATATGGGCTAAACTTTGTTGGAATTATGAACAATTTTTTGAAAATTTTGAAACATGGCAGAAATTGTAAAGTATCTTTTGATTTTTTTTGGATTCATTTGTTTTGTGACCAGCAGGTCAAATGATTGTGCTTGCTTTCAAGAATTTCACCCTCAACAATCCTTGAAACATAACAATAGACACATGCCTGGTATAAATATCTTTCTGAAGATTTTGATGTATGAAATAAAAAGAAAGATAGGATAACAACTTAGGTTCACAATTTAGGGATCCTTTCTACAAGATGTTCCTTGGCCAAATCTCATGGCATTGATCTTTGCAGAATTTCCTGTACCCTTATGAGTGAAGATGACTTATTCATGGTCATCTGACTTTCACACGCTGATCGAGATCGGAACCCACAGCCATCATTTTTTTTGACATAACCAAGTTAAGAACCAAGACTGTAACCGACTGTGTTGTAGAAGCTAACAAACAGTATTTTTATATATTACAGTCAGATGTATGTCACACAGTTGAAATTAGATTATGACATCCAGTTTGTGTAATACAAGCCTAATTACTATGTTATTATTATATTATGTGACATATAATTTATAACACCCACTGTTTTCAGTGTGGACGCCTGATCTTAAACATTACCATGAATACAAATAATCGATTTGAAAGTAATTGAAAATCATGAGAAAAAAAACATACAACTATCAAATGAAAATATTTTCCAAATGAATTTGGAACTTTTCATTAGTGCTGGGAATGGCCACTCATAATTAATAGGAGTGATTAATGTCCACCTTCTTATACTTACCAAAAATTTTCAAATCCCGGCATAGGTTGATATAATACTTTTAGATTTTTCAACCTGGTTTCCCTGTCAGTGACGGTAAGAGGGGCTGACATGGAAAAATGGTCTAGTCATGCGGAAAGACTTTGTTATGATTACAACTTCTTTATAATATTGACATTGAAATAAAATGTAATGGAGTTTTAATCCTGTCTTTATTTGCTCAGTGACGTGTGGGAAAGAAGAGCTTAAAACTCCATTTCGTGTCATTTTCAATTACTGGTAATAATGACAGCTAAGTGTTTTAGATCATTGGAACCTATACATCGTGGCATCATTGGCTTGGTTACATGGGAGACGTGGTGACTCAGTGAGTTAGACGCTTGCTCGCTAACCTGAAGGTCCAGGGTTCAATCCCAGCATAGGTCGAGATATTACCTTCGGATTTTTCAACCCAGTTTCCACCTGTCAGTGATGCAGGTAAGAGGGGCTGACATGGAAAAAGCGTCTAGTTGTTTGGATGGGACAATAAACCGAGCCCCCGTGTGCTACAGGCAGTGCACGTTAAAGATCCCTCGACAATTGGAAATAAAAAAAGAGCAGGCTAATGCAGTTGTCCTGGCGAAATTTCCCTCATCGCACCCTGCATGGCGTAGCCTGTCTTCATTAGCCCACATGGTGCATTCATTTCATTTCATTGGCTTGGTTATGTTGAATAAATGATAATTTTATTGACCAGTTTGTGGAAACTGGGTGACCTTAATAAGCCATCTTTCCTCATTCCAGTTGAACCTACTGTAAAGGTGTATTGAGAATCTTGGATATATCAGTACCAAGAGCCTTGGTCAAAGACCAGTTTGTGTACGAGATCCTCATAAACCTATGTTGTTATTCTTGTAAAAAATGATTGTTTTATTTTATCTTGTTCTAAATCTGCTGTAGAGATATTAAACCTGGTTTTTCTAAACTGTGTCATGTAACATCTGAAGATAAGCTGCCAATTTGTACGCCATTCATATAAAACACTTGTTATCTATGTGTTAATTACCTGAACTAATGCTAGTAACAATCAATTAGTTTAAAAACAATTAATTATAGATAAGATATTTAACATACTTAATAAGTAATTACTTATACTATTGGCTTATTATTGATGTTTTCTTTAATTAATTCATTAACACATTTCCTTTACCCATCAAATTAATTCAAATGGTGCAGAAAAGTAGGGAAAAAAACTTTCATTTCAATTCACATTTCTTTTAAAAGGGAACTGTGCGCATCATATGATACCAAAAAAAATTCAAGTCAAGTTTCTGGTCATGCAACCAATAAATTCACCCTGAAAATCATTAAAAGGGAAACTGTCTGCAATGCTATTGTTGACCCAAAAATTGTTTTCTTTAAATTGCTCAATCATGAAATTCACCAAGAACAAGTTTGAAATGTCACCATTATTGTGAGAAATATGATCAGAAGCAGTTATTTCATTGTTTTTGGTTGAACAGAAAAAACAATTGTTCAATTTGTTGAAAACATCAGATTTCAATTCTCCTTGAACCTGTCAAATATTATGATTGATATTCAAAGGTTTAGACTTGCATCTTAGATTTGACTTCGCTCAGACCTTATTTTAAATCCTATCTTCAGAAACTGTTGAAAATTTCATTACACGATCGATAATTATCACTAAAGCTTTATAAAAACTTGTATCATTTCCGTGGAATTGACTGGCTTTAAGTGGCTTAAGTTCAAGATCATGCATATGTCACTTAAATGTAGCACATGACACGTTGCAACTGACAAAATGTTGAAGCTGTTGTAATTGAGAATTTACAGGCTGGATATTGAAATATTTATTTCATAGTCAGCAAGAAGAGTAAACCAGATACCAGATAGGGGAAATTTGACCCAAAGGTGCTAGAGATTGTCCACTAATTTTTCTAACGAGGCCCATGCTCTGACATGGGAATTTTATACATGATTTATACCCATATTGAGTAAATGACAGATGAAACTTTAACAATAAATAAATATTAAAGGAAACTTGATTATTTGATTAATTACAAGTTATTGATTGGTTTTCATATTCTAATGATAGCTATGTGAACTCTTGGGAAACTTTTACCTTCCAGTATTTTTGGATTTAGAAAATGTAGAATATCTGCCCCTTGGGCACTGCACTTAAGTTGCGACATTATAGTGTAGATGTTATAAAATACCAGAGAAGAGCATGTATACTTTACCAGCAAAAAAACAATTTCATTATAACTTACATGTACCGGTATATATCGTGGTCCATTAACTGTGAACATAACATCTGTGTAGCTAAGATGACAGTTTTAGCCCAAGTCCCTTGAAGTTTGTCAGAAGGCTGGTCAGTCATTGTGTTTTTTACTT